CTACTCCAACACCGGCGGGAACCCAGCAGCATAGGCGTATCACCGAAGATTGGGGACCTAGTCATCATTTGTGACTCCAATCTACCACGCAACATCTGGCCCAGGGGGAAAATCAGCAACGTGTATCCTGGCGTCGACGGAGAGGTACGAGTAGTGGACGTAACCACAAGCACGGGGCATGTACTACGAAGACCGACAAAGAAGATCGTCGTGCTACCAGAGGGATCGCAGCGTGGCGACGGCGGGAGAATGTGCACGACGCAAACATAGCAATACCTCGAACGAAATGACTTACGGATTGCTTGTGGTAACCATCGCTAGTTGAACAACCTGGGGACGGTGGGCGGAGCCATGAGAATGTTATGATCGTCGGGGCGCGCTCACGGTTCCACAACTAGCGGTGGTTGCCCACAGCAACGCGGGAAAAGCCGTAGCAATAATATTAAGAAATATAGCATTTATTGTTAAACAAATGATATTGTAACTATGTAATAACTCTCGCAATAAAGGCACCGACCAACTGGCGAGAGTTAACATAGATTTAGGATATAGAAATTAATCAATACCAAATTGTAGAATAAGTATTATGTGTAAAGTATATTCCCTTGTATAGTTCAATTTAATTTCATATATATTAAGCCCTTAGGCACGATAAATAATAAACAGGGCATGTTACCGTGACGCGGCCGCGGAGCGAATGAGGCTACGCGCGCCGCGCCACGACGTTTTATATTTATTGTACTGAGGCGGGGGGCAGGGTCCTCAGCTCAAAATTGCTGGAATAATAACGTTTTAACCTTTACTATGTAGAAAAATTATTATATAAGTATTAGTTAAATAAGCAATTGTAAAAATGTAATATATTTAAGTCTGTACATTAGTTTATAAGAAATTTGCCAAATAAAGAAAGGCGCGGGGGTGAGGCAAGGGTCCGCTGGCCAGCAATGGCCGAATAGTATAAAAGACGGAACGGTCGGCAGTCGCTCTCCAGCTACAGTAAAGAAAACAACAGCAAGAAAAGAAAAAGTTCCTCCTCACCGCCGCTTGCCTCCAGTAGTAAGCAAGACCAACGTGTTTCACTCATTTTTCGAACGGCGTTACGGCGATCCGTAACAGTGCTCTTATGTCACTGCTAAAGAATGATGACATTATTAATATAATTTTAAATGCAGTCATTAAAGTATTAATAATAATAAAAGCCATTTTTATTTCCTTAACAAATCCATATTTACATTCACAAAATGACAGATTTTTATTTTATTTATTTATGTTGTTGAGGCCCCTTTTCGTGTATAGGCCTCCTCCAGTTCATTAAAGTATTAACTCTTAATAAATCAAATAAACAAACCACCATATCTTCTCAGCTTGTTAAAGATGTTCTCATAGATACAATGAAACCAAAATCGATATTTCATTATTTAGCATTTAATATTTTATGGATCAGTTTAACATTTTACAATGGAATGCACAGAGTTTAATTAAAAATCGCTTTTAATTTACACAATTTTTATATAAGAACACTATAGATGTTGCTCTCATATCTGAAACTTGGCTTAAACCTAGGCACAATTTTAGAGTAAAGGGTTGTAATATTATACGATTAGATTCAGGTAATGATCATAATGGAGTAGCAATACTTCTACATAACAAAATTGGATTTCGTATTATCAATACATTCTCTGATAACTCATTACAAAATATAGCTGTACAAATACAATATAATGATAAATTATTAACTTTATTTAGTGTTTACTGTCCCCCTAATTCACCAATTAATTATAATAAATCCAAATTAGATAATTTAATCCAAAGTTTGCCACAGCCAGTCTTTATAGCTGGTGATTTCAACGCCCATCACACGTTATGGGGATGTATTGAATTGGATTCACGAGGTAGGGATGTTCTTGCAAGTATAGATGACAACAATCTTGTAATCTTGAATGATGGTCAGATGACTACAATAGGATCTCATAGATGGAGGCAGAATGCATTAGACTTGACACTTGTTTCATCTTCACTGGCTCTTGTGAGTGGCAAGTATGTGATGATGATTCTATAGGCAGCTATCATTTTCCCGTAAAAACAAAAATTACGGTCAATAATCAAAAGTTTCAAGAAACAGCTGTATCAAATAACATAAGCTTAAAATTGGTAGATAGGTCAAAATATCCAAATTTAATAGATAATTTAATTAAAAATTATAGTTTTGATTATAGTAATCCTTTACAATGTTATACAGATTTAACAGAACTAGTTAAACAAGCCATGCATGAATCCACACTATCCAATCAGTCTTCTAATCAAAATGTTAACATCAACTTGCAATGTCTTAAAAAAAATTTAAAAAAATTCTACGTTGGTGGAATTTAAAATGCAAAGAAGAATGATCCCACAGAACGAAATTATATTAATTTTAAAAGACTACAAGCTGATAAAAAAATTACTATGAAGACTGAAAGACAGCTTAGCTGGAAAATACTATGTGAAACTTTTAATAGATCTACTCCATTGACTAGAGTATGGAATTACATTAAAAAGTTTAACAAAACTTTTGTTCATAATAACACATCAGTCATAGATTCTAATTGGGCTAATGAATTTTTGAAAAAATATACTCCAGAAACAAATGAATCACCTCTAACTCCTCAATTCTCAAATGATAATCATTGTGATTATCTTACCAAACCTTTTACCTTGACCAAATTCATTTTAGCTGTTTACTCTAAAAAGGACACTACTTGTGGTTTAGATTCTGTTCCATATAAAGCTTTAAAAAATATGAATACTGTGATGTGTAGAGAACTAGTTTTGAAAATATATAATATGTTATGGTTTCATTCACTTATTCCTAACGATTGGAAAGAAGATTGTTTGATACCCGTTTTAAAGCCTGGAAAAAAACTCCCATTTCAGAATCTTACAGACATATAGCACTTACATCTTGTATGGGTAAAATATTTGAGCAACTTATAAAATCTAGATTAGAATTTTATCTAGAAAAAAATTGTCTTTTACCATCAAATCAGTTTGGATTCAGACGCCGTCATCTAGAGAAAGTATTGCATTTCTTCATTTAGACATCTTTAAAGCTATGGAAAATAATGAAGTATTAAGTGCACAGTAGTAAGTGCATTTAATAACGTGTTCAAGTCGTGTTCAAGCTACAGTAGTTGGAGAATGTATTAGCACATATGCACCTATATCTTATGGAGTTCCACAGGGCAGCGTTCTTGGACCAACTCTATTCCTGATTTACATTAATGAACTAAGTTCATTTAAACCTTTAAATGGTAACCTGATCTCCTATTCTGATGATACAGTTCTATTAATTTCAGCCATTTCCTGGCAGAAAGTTTTTGATGCAACGCAGGATGCTTTTGACAGTGTCTCTAGATGGCTGGGTGAAAATCTTTCGACACTAAATCCTAATAAAACAAAATACATTCCTTTTTCTATTCGGAAATTGAAAGGACTTAGAGATAAACTGCATCTTGTGGCTCACAGTTGCAATTTTGTAGATAAACATAAATGTTCCTGTCCTAAATTAGAGCGTACTAACGAAATAAAATACTTGGGGGTAATGTTAGATTGTCACTTAAATTTTAAAACGCATATTGAATTATTAAACAAAAGAGTGCGGAAATTAATAATAATATTTAAAACACTTAGACATACTGCAGATTATAAACTCATAAAGCAAATTTACTTTGCACTCTGCCAATCACTGATATCGTACTGCATTACTTCTTAGGGAGGAGCGCCAGCTTCTACTATTAAGTGCTTAGAAATTGCCCAGCGTACAGTATTCAAAGTAAGCATTTTTCAACCTTTCTTATTCCCAACCAAACTCCTCTTTGAAAATTGTGAAGTCCTTACCGTCAGACAACTGTTTATTTTAGGTATAATCTTGAAACAACACACTGAAGTGATTTTTGATCCTCAAAAATATATAAACTCCAGAATAGTCAGACCTTGTGAACTAAAACAGTTTCATACTTCATTTGTTCGGAGATTTTACTGTGCTTTAGGTCCTTTTGTGTATAACAAAGTTAATAAAATTATTCCAGTTTACTCTCTACAAATGAAGCAATGCAAAAAGAAAATAACAGCTTGGTTACTGACTCTAGGATATGATGAAACGGAAGATCTTTTGACAGTGCAGCGCTAAGTTATTATGGACAGTGCTCGAATTTCTATTGTTAGGTAACTTAAGGTATTCATTAAACTGTTTTCTTCACCTTGTACACGCCCTCTTACACGCGCACACATAAACACACACACACAGACACACACACACACACACACACACACATCCACACACACACGTTCACTAGCACCATATACAAAAGAGGTACATTTTACATATATACTTTTTTAATTTCAATTTCACATTTTGTTTTATACCAAATCTGTAATATAAAGAACAAAGTGTTGTAAAATTTCCATAATTTAAATAAATAATTTATGTTTATTATGTCCGGGGAGTGGCGCCATATGCTGAAATACAGGTTTTGGCCTAGTTCGGCAATGGATGCTATTTTTCTTGTTATAAAATGAAATATTCCTATGTAGTTTTTAAATAGACATATTGTTAACTGATATATATATGGAAAATAAAGATTATTATTATTATTGTTATTTGTATGATGTAAAGATAAGGTCCAAAATTTTATTTACTGACGGTTGGACGACGAAAAACAAGAATACAGCATTTTAAAATACATCGAAATTGATACGAATTCGATACTCTAAAATAAATATCGATATTTCGATATATCGAGATTTAAAATATCGACGACATATATATTTATTTAAAAATATCGATATTTCGATATATGCGATATTTTTTGGCCAAGCCTACATACGTTTTTGACAGATATCAATGAACATTAACGGACAAAAATTTTAAACTTTGTAATAACTTTTATACTAATAAACTTAATAACTTATAATAAATGCAAATTGTTCACAAATAATACTAGATTGTGATAAAACTAAAGATGACTATTGAGAAATCCGCCAAGGCCGCAAATGACTTCGTTGCAAAATTAAAAGCCGACGGTTCTGAAATGGACTTTTATGATTTGGGAATAGTTTACAAGGAGTACAAAATTATTTTAACTGATTTACCCACAAAAGACAAAGGAACCTTCTCGCTTAATGTGTTATGTATGCTCTGCAGGTGGGTACATATATGACATTTCTTTAAAGTTCAATTGATTTAAGTTTTACTTTTAATCTAAAAATGATGTGGCAAACGGACTTACAGCCTATCTGATGGTAAATAACTACTGCAGTCCATGGACTCCTGCAGCCAACTTTGAATACAAGGCTACAGATGTGTTGTCACCTCTAAGGATAAAGATAGAATACTTTTTTTTTTATAGGATAACTGACAATCGAGCACACAACCACCCGTTGGTAAGTAGCTGCTGTGGGCCATAGACATCTACATCCATCTTCAATTATGAATCAAAATGCAGATGCATTGTCACCCGTGAGGATTGAGATAGAATACCTTGTTTCCACTATAAGGGGCCCCACACTCACTATATGAAACACAGCAGAGTGTGGTCTTTCACAAGTCAAGCAGACTCATTTTCGCTACTACTATACTACTGATATAGTTGCAGCATGGCTCTACCACATATACATTGTAATTAACTTAGATCTCTATATCTTATTTATTGTAACTAAAAATGGGTAAAGCTCTGTTTTGCCTTTCATGTTAGCAGCAAACAATTTCATTCTCCTTTCTATATATCCAAACTATGAGTCGATGAGGAAATAGCAATAAAAGTTTCTGAATGTGTTCCTCTATGTCGTATCAATCTCATTAAATACTTGGGTAAAATCAGAACCGTGTAAAAGTATCACAGTGTGCAATGTTGTTTGGGTACCATAGGGGTCCAGATCAGTCAATACCTAACTCGGTGTTTTTTGTGGATTATTATAGTTATTGTTAATAAGTTTTAGCAACAGTAAGTATCAGTCTCATATTAATGCTCTTGTATATTTATGCACTATATATACATGCCTAAGTGTACTACGTGATAATTTTACATATTAATACTTAAAAAATAGAAGGAGGTACTCAATTCGTCTGTATTTTTTTGTGTGTTAGGACAACTTTTCTAGGTATAAAGATTTTGATGACTCTTTTTTTAATGATTTCTTATATTTACGCGAACACTACACATTTAAATAAAACTAATTTTACGGATTTTATAGCGTATATTAACTTATTTTACTTTCCCGACGTTTCAAGCACTTTACAGCACCCATGGTCACGGGGGGGACTGAGGTGTATGACGTCCCAATGTCATAGTTAACCACGGCTACCTCCAGATTAAAAATTATTAATTTTTGTTCCGATCTACGCAGTATGAACTTACAGTATCATGAAGTCTTGCAGTTGTATGCTTGGGTTGGGATTTAATTTTATTAATTATGGGATCCCAAGCAGATGGTAGCACCCAGCCATCTTCTCTATTGAAATTAGGATGTTTTTTGATTTCAATAGCCTCGCGAATCATCCTTGGAAGGAATCGGTGTTCTTTAGCGAGGATTTGTGGTCTATCAAATCTAATGTAGTGACGGGGGCGATCCTGTACGTGTTCACAGACTGCAGACTTCCCGGAGCGTCTATTCTTCACATCAGCTATGTGTTCTTTAACACTGGTTTTTATGGATCTTTTAGTTTGTCCTATATACTCTTTTTTTATTTGAAAGCTGGTGCTTCTCATGTGGTCCCATATAAATTTGATCAAGATCTGACCAGTATTTTTGAGTTATTCTTAATATTACGCATTTAATTGACTTGAACTATATTGATGATATTCTCATTTTATTTATATTGAAGTAGATTGTACAAAATTTTTCAATTTACCACTTGTTTGAAAAAAAATTCCAAACTAGTGATAAATTTAACCACAACACATGGTGTACAAACAATAGTCCGCTGTGTAGTGGTGGTGTAAGAATATCCACTACCCAATTTCATCCCGTGGGTGTTGTAAGAGGTGACAGAGGGAAATAAATTGTAAGATAGGTAGCAACGTCTTGCCAAGCGTAGCAACTATGGCAAATATCCCAGCTATGAGGCAATCTATGGGGGAGGTCTATGTTCAGCATTGGACTTGGCTGTAATAGATGGATGTATAGAAGATAATCTACCAGGAGCACATGACCCACTGAGAGGTGAAATTTTCAAATCAACAGTAACATTACAACTGTGGCAAATATTCCGCTATGAGGCAATCTATGGGGGAGGTCTATGTTCAGCAGTGGACTTAGGCTGTAATAGATGGATGTATAGTAGATAATCATCTACCAGGAGCACATGACCCACTGAGAGGTGAAATTTTCAAATCAACAGTAACATTACAACTATTCCCACTCTGAGGCAATCTATGGGGGTGGGCCTATGTCCAATAGTGGACTTTAATAAGCTGTAATTTTTAACCCTCGATAATACCAGAGGGGTGTTATATGTTTGTAGTGTATCTGTACATTTTTGTCTGTCTGTGGCATCATAGCTCCTGAACGGATGAACCGATTAAGTTTTTTTCGTTTGAAAGATGTCTTAATCGAAAGTGTTGTTAGATATGTTTCAAGAAAATCTGCTCAGCCATTTGAAGATCACCAGCTGTTTAAGTTTCAGGGGGTTATAAAATTTTTAATTTAAATTATCTATACAAATAATGTAATTTCACAATTACAGCTTTTTACGAAATGCATATGAAAGTATACACGGTACTTATAATAAAAATACAATTTTTAATTTTTGTCTGTCTGAATTTGTTCCGGCTAATCTTTGAAATGGCTGAATCGATTTTGACGTAACTTTCACTGGCAGATAGCTGATGTCTTAAGGAGTAATTTAGTTTACCTTTAGTTTGGAAAAAGAATTAGAACTAAATTACATGCGTGCGAAGCCGCGGGGAACTGCTAGGTTATTAATAAAACTGTTTTTATTTTTGTGTACATACATTATATTTTCGTAAATATACTGAACTACTTTAAGTCTTATATATTATATTCAGGTTAGTAAGTCATGTATATAATCATAATACAATTTTCAGGAATCTAGATAAAGTTCCAATATGGCGTGACAAAATCTCCAACAAGGACCTGCTAGAGCTGTGTATAGAGTGCTTGAGACAAACTAGAGCACTAAACAAACCTGAACAAGTGAAGACACTAGCATCTGTGTATCACATTCACAGGCATATAATTCGACAGGTTGGTATCCTTAATATATTTTCTTTTCAACCGACTTCAAAAAATGGAGTCAATTTGATTGCATATATATTTTTTTAAGGAAAAACATCTTTAGGCCTGAATTCCTTCTACGCTGACGTCGTTTGCATACGGTCGATCGTGTACGTCAGCGATAAATAAAATACCATAGTGCGATACCGAGCTCTAATGTGGTACAGTCGTCGGCTAAGTTGATTTTGGAAAGGAGATCGGTCAGTAAAATACAATGTTAATAATTATGATTGTTAACATTGTCTTTTACATACCAATCTCCTTTTTTACTATCGTCCTCATTATTGCAATCTGGAAATAAAGCCTCGAATACTTCTACCCAGTATTTTGCTATCTTTGTATAAATCATTAAATTTTTTTTCGGTAATTCGGTAAATAACACGTTCTGTATCGATATTCATTGCAATTGTACGTGCACGCGTGGATCGTCGGTAACAGAGTGAGGGTGTTCGCACTATTCCACGCTCGTCCGTCGACGGACGTACGCGCCGCTGTCGTCAGAGTTGTAGTGTAGGGCTATATAGAACATAATGTACATTAGTACGCGCGACCTACTTACGCGACCGACGTCAGTGTAGGAGGAATTCAAGTCTTAAGCACATTGGAAACTTTTAGGTTGGGGAAAAAGCAATGAATATAAAATTAATTAATTGTTGAAAATCTAATTGATACAATTTTATAAAATTGACAGTATTTTATAAATTTGTTTGTATTATACAAGTAGATAATAACCATTCTTTTCTACCGACTTCAAAAAGCAGACGGTACTCAATTCAACTGTATGTTTTTTTTTACGTGTTCCCTCATTTTTTTTCTGGGTGAACCGATTTCGATGATTCTTTTTTTATTTGAAAGTTAGTGCTTCTCATGTGGTTCCATATAAATTTGATTTAAGTATGATCAATAGTTTTTTAGTTGTTCTTAATAATTTATATTGAAGTCGGTTGTACACACCAAACCAAAACAAAAACCGATGGGTGTTATAAGTTTATAGTGTGTATCTGTGCATCTGTTTGTGGCATCATAGCTTAGTTTTAAGAAAATCTGTTCAGCCGTTTGTAGATTGTCAGCTATTTTTGTTTTGGGGTTTTTTTTTTAATTTAAGTTGTTAATATTTGACAAATGCTGCTGACAACAATATTCTTATCGGTAATTAACCACTGCAGTTGACATGGACGGTGCAGTCAATTTTAAACATAGAAAGCTGTACACGTGTGTTGCCCATGGTCTAAGATAACAATGTCTCATACACTTAAGTTTTCTCTAGTTTACCTGGAATGTAGCTAGGTTTGTTTTGTAGCATTTGAATCCACACAATGGTGCAATTTTGGATTTTCCAAATAATTTTTTTTTGTGATTTTTGCCCAAAACTTGATTTCGTAAAACTGGTACGAGTTATAGATGCGGATCCTACACCAAGCTGTCTAGAGCTCTGAGTTCAGAGTACTGCATTTCGTGTTTACTGTTATCTATGGTGATGGCTTGGATCTTCTTTCTTCTTCTTTCTTTTTTTATGGCGGTTTTTAATTATTCACCAATGTCAGCGTGGAAGTGTTTATTGAGTACAAGCTCAGTAGTTACAAATACTATGCCCATGTACTAAAGAAGATTGTGATAACACAAGTATCTTATTTTCTTTAAACAATTAAATTTTCCCTTTTTATCTTGTAATACTAGTGGTTTTACTGTTGAATTACCTAGAACAAATGACAAACACAGTTGCTATAACTACATTAGTATATTAGTATTGACAAACATTAAACTTTTATACTATTAGTGTTAATAAAATCACACAGAATATGTACATAAAGAGTATTTGTGTAGGTTAAAAGTGAATCAAAATTTATAGGACGAGGGATGTCAGGAGGGAGATGATCATAGAGTGAACAAGATAATTTAGGACAGTTAAAAAAAATATGGTCAGAGGTTCCCTCATCTAACCCACATTCGCAGAGGGAACTATCCCTAATCCTCAGTTTGGCTAAATGTACTGGTGTACAAGCATGGCCAATTCTAAGTCTACAAATAGTTGATGTTGACTGTTTGTTAGCTTTATTAAATTTGAAAAACCATGGTTTTGGAGGGATGGCACATTGTATAGCAGCATAGTGTTTACCTTTTATATTTTGAGTGGCTTTCCATAATGTGTTCCAATTATTACTTAACTTCTTCTTTGCAAGTAACACTATGTCTGAAGAGTAAACTAAATTACATGGCAAACCATTTCGACTTGCATTTTTAGCCATCAGATCAGCTGTTTCATTGCCCTTAATGCCACTATGACCTGGAATCCAAGCTAAGGAAATCTGAATGCCCTGGAGATGACATCTATACAATGTGTGTTTAATTTTGAGGATCAAGGGTATCTTATCTTTGGAACTGATTTGACAAAATTGCTAACAAACAGCTTTTGGAGTCGGTATGGAGTGGTATATATAGAATGACTGACTTATTTAAGTTGTGTGCTTCTATATAAATCAAAGCTTCATAAATTGCCGTGGCCTCGCCAGTAAAAGTGGAAGAAATAGAAGGGCATTTAAAATTGAGGATTATTTTGTATCTGGGAATCCAAACTGCTGCTCCAGTGCAACTTTCACTTGACTTTTTGGAGGCATCAGTGTATATAATAAGCAGCCTTTCCATAAATTATCTATGACTCTACTTAGTTTACTATTTGCTAAAGGGCAATCTTTCTCAATACCAAGGTCAAGGTGGATATTTGGTTGGAAAATAATTGCATCATATGGGATATCAAAGATGGGACAGGACTTGCATTGTAATACTGGGTGTGGGAGATGGAGTAATGTTACCAAACTGTTGGATAAGCAGGGAGATTCCTTATGAGTCCAGTAATGCTTTGTTGAAATATATTCCAAAAGCAGGTGTAATTTAGAAATGAGAGGATGTGAAGAGAGTTGATAGATTTAAAAAAAGAATTGGTCCGAAAGATATTGTGATATCTACACATTCGACTTGGAGAGCATTTATTGGGGAAGATTTCATTGCCCCAATGATTATACGAAGGCATTTCGTCTGAATCCTGTCTAGGATCTTTAGGGAAGACTTATTACATGGTTCCAAGATAAAGCACGCATAATCCAAATGACTACGAATAAGGGCGTTGTACAATATTTTTTGAGAGAATGGATGGGAGCCCCACCAAACTCCCGATAAAGCACGAAGAATATTTATATTTTTTTCACATTTTTTTGAGACATAGATGATATGATGAGAAAAAGTTAGTTTGGAGTCAAGAATAACTCCCAAAAATTTTACATTCTCCCCAATAGGGATAGGTTCATTATTAAAGAGAATGTCGATTTCAGGGAGTTGCCTATGGCGAGAGAAGATAACAACACTGCTTTTGGGAACAGACAAGGACAAACCATGATCAGTTAACCAATCTTGTAAATAGGACATTGATAAATTCAAGCGGGAACAAGCTGTAGCAAGGTTATCCAAGGAAATATATATAGCTATATCGTCTGCATATTGGAGGATGTTACAGAATGAGTTAACAGAAAGTTCTAGATCATAAGTATAGATAGAATAGAGCAAAGGACTAAGTACTGAGCCTTGTGGGAGACCCTTCAATACAATTCTTGGCGGGAGTAGAGAATTTTGACTATCAATATAAATGGATCTAGAAGAGAGAAAGTTAGAGACAAAATTTACTATCCTCACTGGAATACTCAGATTAAGCATTTTTTTGCCTGAGCACAGGAAGAAGTACATTGTCATATGCAGACGAGATATCTAGAAAGACACCAACAAGGTATTCATGTTTAGAGTAAGCTATACGAATATCAGTAACTAGAGTACTAAGGCTATCCATGGTGCTTAAGCCCTTTCGGAATCCAAATTGGCTTTTTGCTAGAAGGTTTTTGCTTTCAAGAAACCATTCTAGACGATATTTTATTAGGTGTTCAAGAATTTTGGCCATGGTACTAGAAAGAGCAATAGGGCGGTAGCTTGAGGGATCAGTGTGAGGCTTACCTGGTTTGTGAATAGGTAAAATAACTTGGGATTTCCATTCTTCAGGAGGAATACCGGACATGTAAATACAATTTGAAAATAGAAAGAAGATGGGCTTTAGTAGATTCACTGCTATTAGTAATAAAAGAATAAGGAATTCCATCAATTCCTGATGAAGAGTCTTTAAGGACACTAAGAACAGCCTATAACTCCTCATAAGAGAAAAGGGAGTCAAAACTGTGTTGATATTGCAAGGACTGTGATTGAAATGCTATACTTTCATTGTAAGATGGTACTGAAGGAGGAGCAAGATTATTAGCAAAATTTTCAAGCCAATAAGACTGATCATTAGAAATTGTGTTTTCAGAGGCCAAAACTGAACATCGGAATTTTTTAATATTTTTCCAGACTAATGATGGATGAGTCCTAGGCGACAGTGACTCACAGAATTTAACCCATCCAGCCTTTTTCTTCCCAGATAATAATTTTAATGTTTCAGCAGCAGTTTTTTTATAAAAAATATAGTTGTCAAAATTCATAGAGAGGGAATATCTTACTTCAGCTTCCTTTCTCTTCTTACATGCTACAGAACAATCTTGATCCCACCAAGGTGGTGAAGGAGCATTATTTTTATAAGGTTTTTTGATGGGGATTGTCTTATTGGCAGCAGATAAAATAGCATTTTTAAAAGTAGAATTCACCTGAAGAACATTATCTTTCTGAACAGGAGGAAGGGCTGATAGTTCTTCCTCTAGAACTGTGGAATATAGTTGCCAGTTTGCTTTGGATGTGTTATATTTTAACCTAGGATTAAATGGAACATTGACTGTATAGCAGAGATTTAAATCATCAATGATGTCTAGAAATGTAGAAGACCAGGGATCACAAAAATGGGAGCCCCATAAAGTATGGTGCATATTAAAATCACCAAGAATTACCATAGGAGGAGGGATGAAGGATATAATCCTCGTAAGTTCTGACAAGATATTTAAACTAGGTTCGGGAATGTAAATAGAGAGAAAAGAAGTGTTATGAGCTCTAACTGCTACAGCATTAATTGAAGGACTATGAGAAGGAAGGGAAATTAATGTATAAGTAATTGATTTTGAGATAAGAATGAAAGAGCCAGCATGACCATCATGCCTATCATCCCTGAGGCATGAATAACCTGAGATCCTAAAATGGGACCCAGGCTTAAGCCATGTCTCTTGGATGGCTAGGATGAGGGGATGGTATTTATTAATAAGGTAAATTAATTCATTTTTCTTATTATTAATGCTCCTGCAGTTCCACTGAAGTATTGGAGGGAAGGTTATTTGTTAATGAAATGAGAAATGCATGGAGATCATTAACTCACAGAGATTGTCATTAGGGGAAATACTCCGCCCTATTAAAGCACAACCATTAGTAGTTGAAGAAGGAGGGGTCTCTATTATTTCCTTATGGGCAGATTTATCATATCCATGACTTGATGCTGGATTTGGCGGAAGTCTTGGAGTAAATGTAGTTTTCCTGTAAGAATGAGATTGTGAGGGGACAACTGAAGGTAAAGTGGAATTTGAAATAGGATAGAGACTCTGATGATCATACGAAGGAAGGATTCTAGCAGCATCTGCATAAGATCTTCGGACTTGAGGGAAACGGGCAGATGCTTCTAGATAGGAAATATTTTCCTGTGACATGGTAATTTTGATAGATCTCTGCCTAGAGTTTTCAGGGCAGGAAGGATCTTTAGCCGTGTGAGATCCTGAACAAAATAGGCAAGTGGGAGACTGTCTTGTGCATGATATTCCTTCATGATTTTGAGCACACACAAAACAAAGGGAAGATGACCTACACTGTGAGGTTACGTGTCCAAAACAACAACATTTGTGACATTGAATAAGAGGTAAAATGTAGGGCTCAACAGGCATTGAGGTGAAAAAACAATAAATGTTAGAAGGAAGTTTCTGGCCGGAAAAAGTTAAAACAACTGTTTGAGAGGGAATCCACACAGTGCTTTGGTTTTCATTAACTGACTTTCTATTAAATCGGCAAGCTTTAATAATTGAGCCAAAACCAGCTGGGACCTCGATTGATGATATGAGTTCCTCTAATGTCCACTCTACAGGGACCTGCCTCACTATTTCCATGCGTGTGACATTATAGGAAGGGATTACAGTATCATATTTAGCACCTGCAAGGGCTGGGTTCTCAATAAAACAATTTGCATCAGCTGCACTTTTAAACTCGACAGAAATTCTATTGCGTCCTATTCGCTTAACACCATCACTAACAACATTTTTAATATTATTATGGTAGAGAAAATGACCAAACTTTATCGGTTTTAAAACTACTCCAGTTGATAAATCATCTACTCTCTTTCTTACATGAACAATAAACGGCGCATTGTCGTTATTAGAATATTTAATTTTTTTTTCTATGTAGTCAGGATGGGTATAAGAGGTCTGAATAGATGGTACAGGTTGAGATGGATCTGTAATTAATCTTTTCTGAGGATGAGCTGAGTTATTGGTTACTTGCAATCTTTTACGCTTCGACTGATCAATTTCGATAGGCATATTATTATGTTTTTTGGTAACAGTATGGGAGTCACATGGAACCCCGTCGGGATCGGGAGGATCTTCCTCCATTTTATTTTAACTAATTACATATAAGACAGCACAATTACTAAATACTTACGGATTTATATCTACTAAAACCAACACCAATAGAAATAATAAACAAAAAAGTAAATCAACAGCTCTCAGAATAAGAAATAGTCAAAAACACAACGACACTTGTACACCTCACACCACTCCTCCATAGCTTCCCGGCTTGGATCTTTACACACTAGCAATCAGACTGTCACAGACAAAGAGCAATAGTGGACACGGAACTCTGTATTTAGAACTGTAGAGACAGATATATGTATCATATATCTGTCTACATATAATAATCAAATAATTTTTGAATTTTGACTCACATACAACTTTTGAATTCCCGATTGCTGGAGCGCAACCTTTCTGAGCTATAGTAAGCTCAGTTACCGTTACCGTTACAGCTTATTAAAATCCACTGCTGAACATAGGCCTCCCCCATAGATTGCTAAATAGAGGGGATATTTGCCATAGTTGCCACGCTTGGCAAGCGTGTTGGCAACTACAGTCTTTTATTTTTAGTTGTTATTAGAAACATGCTGCTGCCCATCTCCTGACTATTTCCCTCTGTCGCCTCTTACAACACCCACAGGACGGTATGGGGTCGGTATTCTTAATAAATTTAAAGGACGTGGGTTTGAATCCGCCATTCGTCTATTGACGTAATACACTCTCCTAAAAACGTCTCTGTGGGATTGTTTACCACCGGCGATTTTTCCGGACCGATACGACTTAGGGACCTTCAAGAAAAGAGCTTACACCTTTCTGAAAGGCCGGCAACGCATCTGCAATTCCTCTGGTGTTGCGGTTGTTCATGGGCGACGGTAGTCACTTAGCATCAGGTGAGCCGCATGCTCGTTTGCCCCCTCTTCTATAGAAAAAAAAAAAAACTCCTAACACAATCATTGTAAGTTTACCTAGAGTTGTTAACAAGACTATTAGTATTGTTAACTGTATTGCCAGTATTTTTTTTAGATGTACCTGATTTATAAATGTACTACCGATCCGCCCCGGCTACGCACGGGTGATTTCCGGATCTCGATACCAGCCTCAAACACTCGCAAAAATTTCATCAAAATTAGTCAAGCCATTTCGAGACTAAAAAACAGCAATTGATTTTTATAACTGTATTATTGATTTATGTTATGTGATAAAAATTAAAATTCAAAAATGTAATTTCATTTACAGAGTACGTCAGTACCTCCCGAGCTTATGCTGAAGCTATCGTACATGCCGTTTGAAGTCAGTGGTGATTGCCTCCTGAAAGAGTACTGCAAAACTTATTGGAGCATACTCGCAGAACGTTTTGTGTACATAGAAAAATTGAAATCCAGCCAGCTGGCTGTAGTTAAATTATTACCAAAATTGACCGAAGACATTGTAACTATCATTAGTTTGTATGATCCCGTGCAATTCTGTGCAAACATTTTACCATTTGTTATGAAAAAATTGCATACACTTTACAGCGATAACTGTTTGAAGGATGTAAGGGAGACTTATAAAAATATTTTAGAGTGTATTGCATCCAAGAATAACTTGAATATATTTAGAAATGGAACGGAAAAAGAAATGTTGGATCTGTATATAAAATTTAATGAATGTTTATACGTTATAGTTGAGAATGATTCGAAATCACATTTTAAAGATTCTAATTTTGATTGTATTGTCAGAACTATGATATCTATGTTGGGGCACAACTCCGACATATTCCACTGCTTTCAAACGGTCTATTTGAATTGTTTCTGTTGCTTGTTCAAAGATAAAGTGAACTCGTCGTATATGGAAACAGTGTTACAAAGTCTTCAAGTGTCCTGCGAGACTGCAGAGAAACTGGGATATCAAAAAGCGATGTACACTACGTATCCCTTCATCGCACAATTGTTGAGACTTTTTGTAGAATATTTTGTAACTAACTGCGATAGCAAAAAGTGGGATAAACATTTTGATGTGCAACTGCAAGAGATTTGCTTAAAATTGACTCTATTTTTGGTAAAGAAATTGAGTAAAACCCAGCAGATTGCTAAATGCGAGAACTGTACCGCAAAAACTGGCTTACATGATGCACTGCGCCTGACATTCCTTGTCAGACACTTTGTAATCATATCCATAGATCAACAATTAAATATAACGTCTATTCTTCCATACTTTTATGAAGTAGTCAAGTTACAGTATACAATTTTGACAGAGCTGAACAAGCTTGGCTGTTCGAACCGGACGAAATGCCTTAGAAAACTGCAAACTGACGTACATAACACGGCAATCACATTAAACAAGGCCCAATACTATGAGTTTTCTATAAAATTATTTAATATATACCTCAAAAATGAAATATGTTATATGAAAAATGACTCAGAATTTAAAAATATAGCCAGGGCACTGTACAATAAAAGTATCAGTGAACTCGATTGTAAACTATATGAAAATTCAATAAGGAGTGCTTACTTGAGTTTAGTTTTCTCTGAACCGGAGGGGTTGACGTCTGACAAATATATGAGTTTGGTAATGGATATTAAATCTAAGATATTGAAGAAGTACGAAGAAGAGAGTGAAACAGAAGGAAGTCAAGAAGGCTTACAGTTAATGACAGTTTTAGGTGCATGCCATTTGTTAGAGGGAAATAATGATTACGGCAATTTGAAACCGTTCTTCTCTACATTAAAATTTAGGTAAGTTATATCTTGTTTATGTAAATATTTAATCCGTCCGTCCGTCCGTCTGTCTGTTTATCTGTCAGCGGGCTGTATCTCATGATCCGTAATGGATAGACAGTTGTAATTTTCACAGAATGTGTATTTCTGTTGCCACTATAACAACAAATGTTAAAAATAAATTTAACATTAAAAGGGACTCCATACTAGAAACGTGTATAACGATGGTACGGAACCCTTCATCCGCGAGTCCGACTCGCACTTGGCCGGTTACTTTTGTAGTGTACTGACCAAACTTTCAAATGATACTCAATTTTAAGATGTCGTTAAGTATCGTGGTGTCACAGTCACTTTGACTTAAAGTGATAGAGACAGCACGAGACGGCATCTTAAAATTGAGTAGCATAGCGGGCATAATAGTGACAAACGAACACAGTCTACATGCTGATGTAGTGTAAATGCAGATACGAATACTGAGGACTAAGGTGGACTGTCTTACTCAATTTGGACTTCTTTAAAACTCTTATGAATGTCAGAATCTGCACCGGTTCACATAAACAAAAGCCACTTAGAAGAACTATCAAGAAACTCTGGGGTTGTTCTTTTTTAAGATTTGTTGCAACTTTACAAGACGCAGGTTCGGCCTCACATGTAATACTGTTCCCATCTCTGGGCTGGCTTCCCAGTGCCAGCTCCTTCCATTTGATCGCATCCAGCGCAGAGCTATTTGAAACGTCGGCGGCCGAACTCTTTCCGATCGGCTTGACTCACTGGTACTGCGAAGAGATGTTGCATCTCTTTGCGTATTTTATCGCTTTTACCATGGGGAGTGTTCTGAGGAATTGTTCGGACTAATTCCAACCGCACAATTTCACCATCACACATCGCGATAAAACTCGCGATACCATCCATACCATCTGGATGACTGGCGGTCCACCACTGTGCAATTGAAAAAAAGTTTTCTTCCTCGCACAATTTTCTTGTGGAATCGACTACCACCAGAGATTTTTCCGGAGCGATACGACTTAGAGACCTTCAAGAAAAGAGCGTACTCCTTTTTAAAAGGCCGGCAACGTATTTGCAATTCCTCTTGTGTTGCAGTTGTTCATGGACGGCAGTAATCAATTACCATTTGGTGAGCCGCATACTTGTTTGCTTTCTTTTCTCCTATATGTATAAAAAAAGCCCCATCTACCGGGTCCAATTGTGAATCAAACCATCCAGGAACCCACTCTAACACATGCAAAAATTTCATCAAAATTAGTCGAGCCATTCTCCTATAAAATTTTTTACTTAACTTATAATAAAATAATATAGTGTCAAAGGTTAATAAATGCTTGAATAAAACTAGTTTTACGGCTTTTATCGCGTATATTAACTTATTTTATATTCCCGACGTTTCGAGCATTTTACAGCACCCATGGTCACGGGAGGGACTGAGATGTTTGACGTCTCGATATCATAGTTAACGATGGCTTCCTCCAAATTAAAATCATTAATTTTTGTTCTTATCTACGCATTATAAGTTTATGATATCTTGAAGTCTTGCAGTTGTATACATGGGTTGGGATTTAATATGATTAATTATAGGGTCCCAAGCAGATGGTAGCACACAGCCATCTTCTCTATTGAAATTAGGATGTCTTTTGATTTCAATAACCTCCCGAATCATTCTTGCAACAAAATGCTGTTCTTTAGCGAGGATTTGTGTTCTATTAAACCAATACATTAGATTTGAAAAACATATCAGTAGCGATTTTTTTAAACTGGCTTTACGGCTCTGGGTTCTAGCCCTTCTGAACCTTATCAGTAGCAAAGGGACTTGCAAGTGCAGAGTATGAGTTGAGTATACTGGAGCTTAAGCTTAAGTCACTGCGGCCAAACTGTCAAATTCAATTAAAGATTGACTTGTTTCTTCCATTTTCAGCACCCTCCTGAAACACGAGTTCTCCATGTATGTGAAACTTTGGCCTTCGATAGTCCCCATAGCGGGAGTCTGGACTTCGTTGAAACAACTCCTGAATCGCGATCACAGTGCCTGGCTTACGGGTAATAGATCATTTCAGTTTACACTAAGCTAAGGTAAAGTTAATTTTGGTAATTATAAATACTTTGAAAAACTTGTAAGGGTTTGGGTATTTACATGGCACCCGCAGGCTGTTGGACAATTTCATGTCCAACATAGATAGAAACAGCCCAAATTCAAAGAATTAACAAGTGGTGAAATTAAACATTTTGTACAACCGACTTTAATATTACGAGGGCGGCACTGAAAATTTCGGGAATCAAAGAAGTGACACAACATTACTATTTAAAAATGTATTTATTGCTTTTCGAAGTACTTTCCGCGAAATTTGACACATTTTTCCATACGATGGAACCAATCATTGAAGCAACCATTCCATTCGGAAGTTGGGGTCTCCAAAATGGCCGTTTTGTAGGCGTCCACAGCTTCTTCAGGTGATGAAAATCCCTGTCCACGCAATTTATCTTTATTTTAAGGAAAGTATAGAAATCATTAGGGCTTAGGTCAGGGCTGTACGGCGGATGGTCTAATAATTCTATGTTTTCTTGCTCTAAAAACTCTTTTGTTCTGTGTGCGGTGTGAGAACTCGCATTGTCGTGATGGAGGATGATGCGGCGGTTGCAGTTCTCTTTACGGAGTTCAGAAACGACCTGTGGCAAACAAATGCTAGCATACCATTCTGCATTAACCGTTCTTTGTCCCTCAAGAGGAATAGTCGTAACATGGCCGGTTTTGGAGACATACCTGGCCACCATTTTTTTGCAACACTCCGTGAACGAACAATTTTTGTTGGCTTTAACTCATTTTCGAACACCCAAACTCGTAACTGGTTTTTTGTTTCGGGTTCGTACGCGTATATCCAGGATTCGTCACTTGATACGATGTTGTATACAGCATTTGAGGATACTGCGTGGATACTTTCGAGTTCTAACGCACCAAGTAACGCGAGCCGCTTTTTGCTCTTCACAGAGCGAATGCGGTATCCATCGGGAAAACAACTTTTTTACACCTACTTGTTCATGCAAGATTATTTGTATTTGACTCATGCCAATGTCTGAAGTTGCCTGAATTTCGCGGTATGTCACATGTCGATCTTCCTCAATCAGCTTACGCACAGCATCAACGTTTTCTTGGGGACTGCAGTTTTTGGACGACCTTGACGGGGATCATCACTGAGCTTGACACGTCCACGTTGAAATTCAGCAAACCAGCGATAAATTGTGGTTTTGGATGGGGCTTCATCACCAAATGCAGAAATCATCCGGTCAACACACTGTTTTTGTGTTAAACCACTTCGAAAGTCATAATAAATCATCGCTCTTGAATTTTCTCGAGTCAATTCCATTTTCTCAACGACTAAACAAGTTTGACAAAACCTTGTGACAAGACCGAGAATCTTTTTTTAAGTAAATAAATGGTATTCCAATTTTAAAACCAACGAGTTTTGCAATTAAAAAGATTTTAATATGACAGGAACAGTGGAAATATTCCATTCCCGATACTTTTAGTGCAGCCTATGTATAAGATAATTAATAGAATCAGGCGTTACTTTGCGGAAATCCATTATATTAAAGTTTTTAAAAAAAATACCTCGCGTATATCCGCTCGATAAAATAAAATGATGGGTCTTACCTAGTTTGAAAAGCACCTTCCGCTCTCCCTCAATGGCGTGCACTATCCCCGTCACCACTACTCCCAACACTAGGAAAGACACACCACTTTCGACAATACGACTCGTGTTTCGCCTCTACACTAGGCATCTTCAGGTGATGTAGACTCTGCGGTGGCTGACCGCTAAGTGAGCCGGGTCGCCGCTCACTTGGCGGGAGGCGCTCTTCATACTAAGTAAGACCCATCATTTTATTTTATCGAGCGGATGTACGCGCGATAACTTTTTAAACACTTTAATTTAATATTATAAATAAAATGAGAACATCATCCATGTAGTTGAAGTAAATTAAATGCGCATTATTGAGGATAACTCAAAAATTAGTTTTGATCAAATTTATATGGGATCATATGAGGAGCACCAGCTTTCAAATAAAAAAAAAGAATCATCAAAATCGGTTCACCTAGAAAAAAGTTCTGAGGTAATACACATAAAAAAACAATCGAATTGAGAACCTCCTCCTTTTTTTGAAGTCGGTTGATAAACCATTAACCTTCTTAAATAAGAAATCATCCGTATGAGCCCATTACAAAAAAAAAAGAACAGTGATAACTGTCATTTGTTTTTCAGTTGAAAGCGAAGAAACTATACTCTGGACTCTGTATGAAGTGATGCTGGAGACACCGACAGCTGTCAGGACTGTTCACTCTGAACACTACAAAGCTATTGTTACCGAAGTGTTGGGCAGATTCGATAAAAAACCAGTAAGTGAATAATTGTCATAGTTACGGAAACGCACGGGGTAAGTCCTTTCATCATTATCATTGTTCTAAGTAATGCCACAAAGCATTGTCATGGGCCAACTGAATCTATCGACTGCATTTCTTACCAGGTCATCACTCCATCTAGTGGGGAGCCTCTTAGGCTGCCACTCAAGAACCTTTCTTCCCCATCGGTTGTCGGTTCTTCGAGTTATATGACCGGCACATTGCCTTAGCTTACTGATCCGTTGGGCTAGAATAAGAATAGAATAGAATAGAATATTTTTTATTCAATATACATTACATGTGTAATTCTTATTGAAAGTCATTTTTTACTTTACCACTGGTTCGAAAAAAACCCTCTGTCCTGGGAAGAACCAGCAAGAAACCCAGCGGGACTTTTTTTTAAATAAATTTTACAATATAAATGATTACGAACTATTTACAAAATTTATTTTAGAAACTGCTTGGAAGCGATCACCTCATTCCCAGGGGTTATTATCAACCATGTATTCATTTATACTATAATAACCCTTTTTATACAGTTTCAGCTTAATAAAACATTTAAACTTGGTAATAGACAGAACCTGTACACTTTCCGGGACCTTGTTGTAATAGCGTATACATTGCCCCAAGAATGAATTACTGACTCTGTGGAGTCGAGAAACTGGTATCACTAGCTTGTGTTTGTTCCTAGTGTTTACAGAATGTATATCACTTCTTTTACTAAAACTATCTTTGTTTTTGTGAACATACATTAAATTTTCGTAAATATACTGAGAGGCCAAAGTTAATATATTAATTTCTTTAAATTTATCTCTAAGAGACTCTCTCGGTTTTAGATTGTAAATAGCTCTAATGGCCCTCTTCTGTAAAACAAAAATAGTTTCTGAATCAGCCGCATTTCCCCATAGCAAAATCCCATAAGACATTATGCTATGAAAATAACTAAAATAAACTAATCTAGCTGTCTCGACACTAGTGAGACCTCTAATCTTTTTTACAGCATAGGCTGCAGAACTTAGTCTGCTTGCTAATTTGGATATATGGAGCCCCAATGGAGCTTTGCGTCAAGAGTGATGCCAAGAAAAACAGTGGATACAACAGGGCTCAATTCCTCCCCATTTAAAAACACATTGGTATTCAGATTTTGAACATTCGTTGTTGTAAATTTAACACAATTAGTTTTATTTCCGTTCAAATGCAGATTATTAACGTTAAACCAATGCACTAATTTTGATATAGCATTATTCACTTCGTCACATTTAAATGATTGACGTTTAAGTTTAAAAATCAAGGAAGTATCATCAGCAAATAATACTATATCATGACTATCCCCTACAAGGTGAGGTAAGTCATTAATATACACCAGAAACAGGAATGGGCCGAGAATCGAGCCCTGAGGTACACCCATTAGTACAGGTGACCCGGAAGAACTTTTACCATTGATAATAACCTTCTGTTTTCTATTACTTAAATATGAAATAATAAGTTTAAGCGCTGTGTTCTTGACACCATAGTACTGTAGCTTCCTGGTTAATGTCTCATGGTGAACACAGTCGAAGGCCTTGGAAAGGTCACAAAATATACCCAAAGCATCCTCTGAATTCTCCCATGCACAAAAAATATGTTTAATAAGCTCAACTCCAGCGTCAGTTGTCGAGTGACCCCTTGTAAAACCGAATTGATTATTATGTAGCAATTTATTAATATTAAAGAAACTTAACATCTGATCTAAAATAATTTTTTCAAAAATTTTACTTAATGTTGGTAGTACAGAAATTGGTCTAAAATTGGCGGGGTCTAATGTACTACCAGATTTAAATATAGGTATGACTTTACTATGTTTCATTAAATCAGGAAACACACCAGATTCGACGCTTATATTAAATATAGTGGCTAGATAAGGTGCTAATGTATCTATTATAGATAAAATAACTTTAACGGAAATCCCCCATAAGTCTGCCGTTTTCTTAACATCAATAGTTTTAAAATATTTAACGATATCTTTTGGCAGTACCCTATGGAATTTAAAAGTATTTGAACAAGCCTTTACATTTTGTTTGAGCAATGATTCGGCGACAGTAGGAGAAGAATTTAATGATTTTGTTGTCAAAAAAGGAACATCAGTAAAATGTTTCTCAAAAGCCATAGCAACTTCTTGATCAGATCGCGTTAAATTATTGTTAATATTCAATTGAAAATCCGAGTTGCGCGGTTTGACCTTGCCCGTTTCACTATTTATTATTCTCCAGGTCATTTTAATTTTGTCGGATGCAGTTTTAATTTTGTTGCTTAAATGTAAAGCCTTAGCAGTGGAGCACACTTTTTTAAATATTTTAGAATATGTTTTTACATAATCTCTAAATATAACACTACTATTATATGATCTTTCATCATAAAGCTCGTATAACCTTCGCCTACTTTTATAAATTCCTACTGTCGCCCATTCATTAAATGATTTGCGACTGTTAAAAGAGAAAGTTTTAGAAGTAAATATTCTACTAAATTCACAACGTATAATTTCAAATAATGTAGCATACAAATAATTAGCACTATTTTTAAACGAAAGTGATGGAAGTCTTTTTATTATATTACTTCTAAACCTCTCCAAGCGATGTTCATTTATTGGAACAAACACAACTTTCTTATTTTTCTGTTTTTTGTGTATGTAAGGTAGTGATACTAACTGTCCACATTGATCTGAACTTAAATTTTGAATAATTGATTTATGCAAGGGCTTAACATCTGTAAAAATGTTATCTATACAGGTCGCACTAGGCCCAGCAATACGTGTTGGTTCTAAGAATAAATTTACAAGATTATACGATTTAAACAATGAGCTAAACTTAATACTAATGGAAGAAGTTTCAAGGAGATTGATATTAAAGTCTCCACACATTACAACAGACTTGTTCTGTTTACTAAGTTTGAGTAAAACTTCTTCCACAATCCTTTCAAAATGGTCATAAGTAGCACATGGGGGTCTGTAAACACTTACAACAATGAGGTGCTCGAGCTCGACACAAGCCATTTCTACAGTTCGTTCAACAGAGAGGCTCACAATATCCTTACGTTCTTTATATAATAATGATTTATCTGCTAATATTAAGGAGCCACCACGTAAACTTTTTTCTCTATTGAAGGAACTGACCACCTGGTGATTTCTGAAATTAAACATGAAATTATAATCTTTTAGCCAATGTTCAGTAATACAAAGGATGTGTATATTGTTACTATTTAAAAACAATTCAACTTCCAATTCTTTGCCCAACATGCCTTGTATATTTTGATGCACCAGGTGTAAACAATTTTTATTACTTATTTGTGGGCTGTATTCAAAATTAATTAAACTCTTATTATTGCTAGAGATTTCCTCTATTGTCACATTCACTAATTTAAATTAGTTGGAACTGATTCCAAATTAAATGTCAAATGATTATGCTCAATAAAAGCAGTCTTGGTAGCCAAAAACTTGGCTGAGTTAAAAAGTAAATAATAAGATAGCACATTTGCTATCAGTCTTAAATTATATTTGGATAGGTAATACCTATCTTTTGTCCAAAACTTTTTTATTAAATTATTTATGTCAATTACATGAAATTTATGATTATTATCATTAGAATTATATGTCAAATTTAAATTATTATTACATATTAAATTATGCATTTGTATATTTAAATTATGTCTTAAATTATTTTCTTGTGGCAATCCCTGTATATGTTGGTTACTCCGGTTCTACTGCAGATGTTTTTATTTTGTATAAAATAAGGGTGACAAGCGAGCACACAGACAGAATGACGAACGAATGGAAATCCGTAGTCTCTGCCTACCCGTCTGGGTGACAGGCATGAGTGTTTATGTATATGTATTATGTATAAGATGCTGCCCATCTTGTTCACTGTTTGGTTTCCCTCTGTCGCCTGTTACGACAACTACGGGACTATTTGGGGTGGTGGATGTTCTTACAGTGCCACTACACGGCGATTCGACAATTATTTATGTATTAGAAAAAATTAGGTGACTAATTATATTTAATAGCTTAGATACTTTCATAGAAAAGCGGGATTCGAACCAGTGGGTGACTGGTTCGAATCCCGCACGGAACAAGTATTTGTATGGCCTACAAATAAGTGTTCCGGATCTAAATTGCTCCCACGATACAGGAGCAAATCCTAATATGGAGGTAACGTTTTTTTTTAAGAAAAGAAATAACGAAGTCTAATTAATAGAATCAGGCGTTACTTTGCGGAAATCCATTATATAAAAGCTTTTAGCAAAATTTACTTCGCAAATATCCGCGTTATAAAATAAAATGTGTCTTATCTAGTATGAAGAGCACCTCCCGCCCTCCCTCAACATCACTTTATTTCATAACGCGACACATCATTTTATTTTATAACGCGGATATTTGCGAAGTAAATTTTTCTAAAAGCTTTTAAATAACGAAGTCTGCTGAATGACAAAAATTCTCTTAAGCTGCCCTGATATGGCTATGCCTGACACTATACATATAATCACGCCTCTTTCCCGTGATAACATGGTATTATTAAATACTAGCTGTTCCCCGCGACTTCGTCCGTGGTTTATTACGACTGGATTTCATGGTTTTTAATTTGTTTTTTACGCAGAACCCAAATTTTTTTTGCCGCACTTGTGGTTGAAAATTATAATATTAAATAAATCGCCTGGAAATATTTTTAATTATTTTATTTTATTTAAAGTTTTCTCTTTTACCGCAAGTCAACTACACACATGTCTTTCTTTCGATATGGTTTTATTCAATAAATACGTCCAGAGCTGATAATTGGCCTTAAAACAACTAGAATTTCTGTATCTGTTATTTTGATATTACAAACAGACACTTCAATTTTATTTATGCGTATAGACAGATTAAATATGGTACTTACAGGCAGAGAAATTCGAAGAGAGAGCAGTGCACGCAACACTGCTGTTCCTCCAGTCTGAATATGATATAAAAGAAGCCACTGAGAAGTACGGTTGGAAGCCCACAGAACCGGTGAGTTGTCTATATAAACAACTAGCGATCCGTCTCAGCTTCGCACGGTTGATTTCTGGATCTCGACATCAACGCCACCTAACGGGTCTAATTGTGAATCTAAACCATTATCTAATCAACTTATCTCACACACGAAATTTCATCTGTGGCGGCTCTGTCGTCGCGCCACAAGCGAAGCACATCGAAGCGTAAATCGCGCTACAAAGTTCCGAATTTAAAGTAGTATATATAAAATAGCTCCGTGTTACCACTCGGAGCGTTGGTCGCTCCCTGGGCAGAACACCTTGCCCGGCGGGAGATCTCCCCTTTTCTTTCCACCCGCTACACATCAAAATCGGTCCAGTAGTTTAGGAGGAGTTCAGTCACATATACACTGACAGAAGAATTATATACTATATAATATGCATGTATTATAAATATAAACTTTCCTCTTGAATCATTCTGTATATTGATGAAAACCGCATCAAAATACGTTGTGTAGTTTAAAAGATCTAAGCGTACAGACGGCGGGAAGCGACTTTGTTTTATACTTTGTCGAGAAGAGATTTCAGAGACATATCGCTGGATGTCTGTTGAACAAACTAAGCTAATGTAAGTAACGTTTTTTTTTTATAGAATAAGGTGACAAGCATCCACACAGTCCACCTGATGGTAAGTGGATGCTGTGACCCGTTATGTGGTACATCTATCCTCGATTAAGAATCAAAATGCAGACGCGTTGTTCCTCCTAAGGACTAAGATATTGTAGCACGAATGGGTCGACTCAGAAGAATAGAAGTGTTTCGTATGGTGAGTGTAGAGAACCGGACATCCTTTTTACTGGAAACGAGGCATTCCATCTTAGTACTCACGGGTGACAACGCATCTGCATTTTGATTTGTAATAGAGGATAGATGTAGATGTCTATGGGCCGCAGCAACCACTTACCATCAGGTGGACTGTGTGCTCGTTTGTCACTCTTATTCTGTAAAAATATAATTCTTGTACCGATACATTTTATTTCTCTGCATTCACTAACAAAACGTCTTCATACGGACATGATGTTGATATTTTAGATTGCTCTGACACAATTTTTGTCTATGTAATCATTTAGTATTCTACAAGTTTTCAATTAAAAAAGCGGTTTTAAGTGCGACGGTTTAAACTTCACACGGTTCAATAGTATTGTAATGTACTATTCCAGGTCCTGGACCCAGATCAAGCGCGAGTCCTCAGGACTCTGCCACAGGAGCATGAAGCCCTGCGTTGTGCTGTGCAAGCTGTACACATTTGGACCGAAATATTACCTCGGTTAAATGCAGGTAAAGTACGCTTGCCATTTTGGATTGTGTCAACCTGAATTAAAAAATATAATACGGTCAAAACTAAATGAGAAACGGATAAGACTATTCGGTTTTGACTGAATGATGGCTAACAATTTTCTGCTCACCAGATGTCGCTAGTTGACACTGAGGTGAAGTTTTTTTGTTACACAATGTCATTTAATTTAGAAGTTGGTTTTTAACAAAAGTTTATCAGTTTCTAGAGTATTATATTTATACACAAAACAATGCCTCAGTGGTTTGCTCTTTAATTATTTGCACATATTTAACTTTTTTTTAAGTTTTTCTACTTTTATGAATATCTGTGGCTTGATTTATTTATTTTTAATCTAATTAAGTAATATAAATTATAGCTAATGATACAGAAAGAAACATTGATCATTACATTTTCTGAACAAATTAACTTCCCCGCTATGAAATTTGTCAAATATTATATCTCACTCTTTTAAGTGGCGCCGCCCTGGTGGCAGAAAAAGTCTTGGATGCCCTCATAGGGTTAGCAGGCGGGTTGGCAGCCGCAGTTTTTATTATTTTGAATTATTAGGAAGATTATGGTCATGTAGAAAGAATGAATGAGGATAGAGTGACAAAACAAATTTATGTTGCAGAGGTGAACGCAAAGTTTATCGACCAAATTGGCGATATATTGAAAATGGGCCAAATCAAGAGTACCCTTAACCGACGAGCGTGTATGCGTAGGTATATGGATGTGGAGGGAGTGAGAGAGGTGTGTCAGGATCGTGCCAAATGGAAGTCCATAGTCTCTGCCTACTCCTCTGTGTGATAGGCATGAGTGTTTATTTATGTATTAGGAAGACGCTGCTGCCCATCTCCTGGTTTGTTTCTCTCTGTTGCCTCTTACGACACCCACGGGATGATATGGAGTGATGGATATTCTCACACCGCCACTACACGTTAAGATATTCACTTAATTGAAATATATTTTCCAGCTCCGGTGACGCCACTTCTCCACCACTGCTTGCAAATCGCCGAGATCTTCGTCCAGCAGTTCCTGCACACATATCGTCACGTATATGGTCTCCAACTGGCCCATGTGTGCTGCGAGCTGGCACGTCATATCGGTGCCAAGTAAGTTCACCGTTTAACTTTTTTTTTACTATTAGAAATAAATAATGGAGTTAAGTGTATTAGTAACACATTAAAGCAATTTGCTTAAGAAACAAACAGAAACAGATACATTTATTTATTCAATATAAGTTATGAATAATACTTATTGAAAGTACCTATATACTTCTGAATATACCTCTGTCTTGGGAAGAACCAGCAAGAAACCCAGCGGGACTTTAAAAAACAGCTTACAATCACGTTTGTTACACGAATTAACAACACAACAAATTAGAAATAGCTTGGTAGCGATCACCTCATTCCCAGGGGTTATTATCATCCAGAAATTCCTTAATATTATAATAACCCTTCTTATACTTAAACTTAGTTTAATAAAATTTCATAACATTAAGCAGGCACAATAATAACATATTATAAATTTGGTAAATCTATACATATAAATAAAATTGAAGTGTCCGATTGTAATGTCAAAATAACAACTTTTTACTAATTAATAAAATTTATATGAAATGTTTTTTTTTTAAATTTTTGTCTGTCTGATTGTGAGAGGACTTTCACTGGCTATTGGGACTTTAACTGGCGTTATAAGGAGTAACTTATGCTACTTTTTAATTAGAAGAAGGATTAGGGTTCCGCGCAAAAAAATTTAAACTCATGAAATTCTATCGTAATAAATTCCACGCTGCCGAAGTCGCGGGTAATAGCTAGTTTTTAAATAGAAATTGAAATAACTTTAGGCTCTGTTAGAGTATTATAGAATAATTTAACTAATTTCCAGGAGTTCCTAGGAACCAAGTGTTCTTTAATCCATTATTTGTATCTCTCGTCCCCAGGGAAGCCTACATCCGGAACGCAGGAGTTATTATGCTCCAAGCAAGTAGACCAAGCGATCAGATCAACCGCATTATAGCATTGGCTACAACTTACTGGACTGAGCTGATGAAGTCCAAGGAATCTCTGGAGGCTGCACTAGTGTTTGCTTGCGAGCTGGCTGTAAGTGAATTAAATTTCTTGAAGGGTTTTGTACGTGGTAGAGCCACGCTGCAGCTGTATTATAGTTGTAGCATGAATGGGTCGGCTTGACCGGGGTAGGACCACGGTCTCACAGAATACCAGCTCAATGCTGCTGTGTTTCGTATAGTGAGTGTAGAGAACCGGAGAAGCTTTTTACTGGAAATGAGGCATTCCATCTTAGTCCTCATGGGTGACAACGCATCTGCATTTTGATTCTTAATCGAGGATGCATGTAGATGTCTATGGGCCACGGCATCCACTTACCATCAGGTGGACTGTGTGCTCGTTTGTCACTCATGTTTTATATAAAATTTCTTATAATACTGAAGTTGATTGTGTACCATTGATTACTGTAGTGATTACAAAAATACATTATTATATGTATGGTTTACAGGGCCATACACTTTCAAGAAGTAGAGTTGAAGTTAGTTGATGAGCATGTCGAAAGGAAAAGATCACCAAAGTTAAAAGGGTTTATTAAAAAAAGTAATGTAATTACAAAGTTATTTTGGCAAACACTTCCTTGAGTAGTTACTGTTTAGTAGGACGGTTGTTGACGTTACTGACTTTTAAATATAATAAATTTTAAATTTAAATATAATAAAATTATTACTAATTAAACATGCGCCAGGAAAGTAGGTCGCAACGTGAGCACAAAATAAAGTTGTATGAGTTGTTGAATGTACGATGGCTTATCCGTACAGTATAAAGTAAATCAATATTTTCATTTTACCAATTATCTGAGTACAATAAAATCTCTTACTTAAGTATTCGGTATTCGGCCGAATATCGAACTATATCTGAATAATCGCATCAACATCCACCAAATTCCTGCCTTCGTTAAGTTCTAGATCAAAATTGGATATTTTTTTTTATATTTCAGATGTATTACGATAAATGTGGTTCAACTACGACTGCAGCCAAGTTGGTGCAGTTTGCTCAGGCTCGGCTTCTGGACGCTTGGGGCGATCCGGACGTAAATTGTGAGTGTCATTTATACCAGGTGGCCCATAAGTCGTTAGAAATGTAAATTTCGAATAAAATACAAAAGGCGCGCATGAGTGGCGCGCGCGGTGCGGGGGGAGTACCGACGGTTTCTGGGAATTCAGTCGCCATGGAGCGTTTCACCGGTGCGGACCGTGCATTTTGTGTGCGCGAGTTTTATCGAAACAATGATTCGGCTACCATTGCGCGGCGTAAATTTCGAGAATATCAGAATTTACGCAACTTTAAAGACATTCCAAGTGTTCAAACGATTAAGAACTGGGTTATTAAGTTCGAAGAGAGTGGTTCGACGTTGGATAAACAACGGTCAGGTCGACCAAGGACATCACGGACGGAAGAAAACATCGATGTAGTGAAACACTCAATTCGTGAAAATCCTACCCAGTCTACTCGTAAGCGTTCCAGTGCATTAAACTTACCCAGAACATCGTTACAGCGAATTTTAAAGAAAGATTTACATCTTCACCCGTACAAGATTCAGTTAGTACAGGAATTAAAAGATACTGACACTATCCACAGACTAAATTTAGCAAATGAAATGTTGAACCGCTTTACTTCGTTTAATAACGTGTTATTCTCTGATGAGGCTCACTTTCACATCAACGGCCATGTCAATAAGCAAAATTGTTGCTACTGGAGTTGCGAAAATCCAAATCGCAAACATCAAAAGCCCTTACATAGCCCTAAAGTGACAGTTTGGGCGGCTATGTCAGCGCATGGCATTATAGGCCCTTACTTTTTTGAGGACGGCAGAGGCCGCGCGCTTACTGTTACTTCACAACGGTATGTAGCTATGATCCAGGACTTTTTTACACCAGAGTTGCAGAATTTTCCAGGCTTCAATACGCGGACCTGGTTTCAACAAGATGGAGCAACTGCCCATACCTCTAACGTCGCTATGCCGGTCGTCCGTCAACTTTTCCCTAATAAAGTGATCTCTCGAAGAGGAGATATTCCTTGGCCACCACGTAGTCCAGATCTGACCCCAATGGACTTTTTCTTATGGGGTTATCTTAAGACTAAAGTGTACGAAACCAACCCGCGGACAATTGACGTCCTGAAAGAAAATATCCAAAGAGAAATGGCAAACATTACAGAGCTTACTTGCCACGCAGTGATGGATAAATTTAAACGTCGCTTACAGGAGTGCCGCGATCGTAACGGATTACATTTAGATGATGTAATTTTCAAAAAATAATTCCCATTTTATAAGGATTATGACAAAATAAAAACCTTTTTCATAATGTCATTATTTTTTTTTAAATTATTTTTTTACATTTCAAGGGACTTATGGGCCACCCTGTATATTCTTTGTTAAATTTATTTTTTTATTTTTAAAAAAATAACCTCCCCACTAGGATTTTGTCCTGTGCCGTGGGGGTAGTTTACAAACTAATTGCACAAGGACCATCCAGACCCGGAACAATTATTTATAGGCCATATGAATACTTGTTCCGTGCGCGATTCGAATTCGCGGCCCTTACCGCTAAGCCACTGCGCCACTATCATGTATCGAAAGAGTACATACAGACAGACATGTATACATAAGTACTAGGGAGTCGTAGGGATACAACCGATACCGATTTATCGGCATCGATGATATTTTTATTGCCGATTTTTTTAATATAAGGGTTTTTTTTTTAATAAGGGTGCCAAACGACCACACAGTCCACCTGATGGTAAGTGGATGTGGTAACCCATAGACATTATCCTACATTTATCCTCGGTTAAGAGAACCTTGAGGAGTAAGATTGATAATAATGATAATAACCGGCGAATTGTGAGTCGGACTCGCGCGTGAAGGGTTCCGTACCGTCGTAAAACACGTTTCTCGTAATATTTGTTGTTATAGCGGCAACAGAAATACACATTCTGTGAAAATTTCAACTGTCTACCTATTACGGATCATGAGATACAGCCCGCTGACAGACAGCGGAGGCTTAGTAATAGGGTCCCGTTGGTGGTTACCCTTCAGGTACGGAACCCTAAAAACGGTCTCCGGTTCTCTACACTCTTTGCAAGCGTATTTATTTTTAGTCGTTATTAGGAAGACGCTGGTGCCCATCTCCTGGTTTATTTCCCTCTGTCGCCTCTTACGACACCCACGGGATGATATGCGGTAATTTATTCTCTATCGTACCATACAAAACAAATTATTTTTTTTATATTTATATTCCAGTGGACTTCGCGCTGGGTCGTTTAGTGGAAGCCCAGAGCCAACAGTGCAGAGACTCCGGTCCGAGCACCATGAGCTCTGTCAACGCTATACAGAGGCATTTTGTAACCGTCACAAACCCCGGTGAGTCCATTTCTTGAGTAATACACTAATTAATACCACGTAGTGGCGTTGTAAGAATATCCATAAACACAAACAAATCAGGAGATAGGCAGCAGCGTCTACCTAATAACGATTAAAAATAAGAAACTGCGGTTGCCAATCCGATCGCCAAACGTGGCAACTGTGGGAAATATCCCCCCTTTGAGGCAATCTATGGTGGAGGCCTATGTTCAGCAGTGGACTTTAATAGGCTGTGATTTGGTAACACAAATTTATTCTGTACTGCATATAGTCATACGAATATTCCCTATATTATTTCGTAACTTAAACGGTGGTAGAGTCACGCGGCAGCTTTCGCTGTTGCACGTATGGGCCGGCTCGAGCCGGGTTGGTACCACGACCTCACAGAATACTGGTGTGAAGTAAAAGCTCTGATTTTGCATTTCGTCTAGTGAGTGCAGGTGGCTGCAGCCCCTCCCCCCCCCCCATCAACATGGTAGCGGAATTAAATAAAAAACTACCCCAGTAGGGTACCAGCACCCCTGGAGAATCCCTCGCTGAGCATCCATGACCATACTACTCCACTCCTGAGCGTGGGTGCTCAGGCTGCCCCGCGTATTCTGGGAGAGAGGGGGGGGGGCAAAATTCCGCTCAAAACAATAACTGCTCGGGACAAACTAAGCAACAAGCCCAAAGCGACCCCTGCCACGCTATCCGTGAATTTCTGCAACATCAGGGGACTTTACTCGAACCTAAACGCCGTCCACTACCATCTCGAGACGGCAAAGCCGGCCTTTCTCTTTCTGACCAAGACGCAGGTGTCCTCTACGGCTAATACTTCGTATCACTCTTACCCGGGGTACAAATTGGAACACTCCTTTGTGCCTCGGCCTGGAGCATATACCTTTACGTATACGTCAGAGAGGACATCTGTTCTCGACGCCTCGGCAGTCTTGAAGGTTCGGACCTGTCCATCCTTTGGCTACGCGTAGACAGCGACGACCATCCGCGCGTCTATGGGTGCCTGCCTCTATAGGTCCCATAGCGGTAATGCCGAAACAGACCGACTCATCGACCACGTCCAAATGGCTACAGATTCCTTGCTACAACAGGTCCCATCCGCAAGGATCGTGATCCTTGGCGATTTTAACGCCCACCACGCCGAATAGCTCGGTTCACGTTTAACCGATCATGCGGGGAGATCTGTTTATGACTTTGCCTTGGCATATGGTCTGACACAACTGTTTACTTCGCCTACGTCGATTCCAGATGTGGAGGATTATACACCTTCCCCGTTGGACCTTCTGCTGACCTCTTATCCGGACGGATATCAGATTTCTGTCGATGCCCCTCTCGGCTCTTCGGACCATTGTCTGATCCGGAGTGTGGTGCCACTCACGCTCCCCTCGCGGTTGCGTTCTGCAGGTTGCCGCCGTGTTTGACATTACAGGTCGGCGGATTGGGACGGAATGCGGTCTTTCTTTGCATCCTACACGGGGACTGGAGATGTAAACACCAGCATGCTTAAAAAGAAGTATAACTTCGCCTCCAGGTCCTTCAAAAGAGTTAGTCCGAGCACATAGGCAGAATTGGCGAGAAACTAGTTTGTCTTCCTTCGGGAACCCGTGTATTCTAGTCTCTCGCCAAGGTTGTCCAAGGGAAGTTCTGTCAGCCATCTCTTCTATCTCTGCACGGAGAGGACGACTCACTGGCCCACGCCGCAAAAGAAAAGTCCGACCTTTTAGGCCCCCTTTTTGCGTCCAACTCGACTCTAGATGACGAGGGGAACACCGCTGACCATCCCGCAGTATGAGTGATCCATGCCGGATGTGCGGTTCTCACAGCGCTCGGTTCGCAAAGCACTTCGCTCCCTGGACATCCACAAGTCGAGTGGGCCTGACGAAATCGCCCCAAATTGTGCTGAGGACGTGTGCGCCGGAGTTGGCACCGGTTCTAACGCGTCTTTTCCGGTACTCCTACTCCCTAGGCGTAGTCCCGAAATCATGGAAGACAGCTTTTGTCCAGGTCGCTTTTTTAGGAATCGACCCTAAAAAAGGCGACCGCTCAGACCCGTCCAACTACAGGTCTATCGCCATCACCTCCTTGTTCTCCAAAATAATGGAGTCCATTATTAACTACCAGCTCATGCGGTACCTTGAGGATCACCAGCTGATTAGTGACCGCCAATACGGTTTTCGTTGAGATCGATCAGCTGGTGATCTTCTGGTCTACCTGACTCATAGATGGGCGGAGGCAGTAGAGTCCAAGGGGGAGGCGTTGGCCATTAGTTTGGACATTGCGAAGGCCTTCAATCTGATTTGGCACAAAGCGCTTCTTTCGAGGCTCCCTTCCTATGGGCTTCCCGAGAAATTGTGCAATTGGATCACCAGCTACCTAGCAGAACGGAGCATCAAGGTTGTTGTAGACGGTGCATGCTCCGACTACAAGCCTATTAACGCAGGTGTTCCACAAGGCTGTGTGCTATCACCAACGCTGTTTCTTCTGCATATAAATGATATGTTGCAAACTGGTAACATTCATTGCTATGCGGATGACAGCACTGGTGGTGCTCTATACACCGGCCGTGCTAATATTTCTCGGGAAAACGTCGCCGAGTACCGGAACAAACTTGTGTCTGAAACCGAGTCTTTTCTGAACAAAGTCTCGGATGGGGGGCGACTAAATCCAGCCTAGTTCAACCCCCAGAAGACACAAAGAACAATGGCAGAAAAATAGTTGACAAAAATTTTTGCATCTATATATAACTTATTTCTAAGTTATATATAAAATGAGTTTATTATTTTTCTATGATTTTTTCAAATAAAAATATATTTTAATTATAGCCACAGAAACAAAACAAACATTTTTGGGAATGTCAAATGACTTATATCATTTTACTCTATTCAAGTGGTGCCTTTTACTATATACATACTATTTTCATATACTCTTTGTAATACTTCCAACATAACACACAAACACAAAATTATTATCAGTAATAATAAAAATAAAAGTGATAGGTTGAAAATAAGTCTATTATAAAGAACTTCCTACAATAATACATTATCTCTATCATAGTACTATGTAACAATTCCATTTAATGTTATGGCAACACTAGCTAAAACAAAATGTCACCGTTTTTTTTTACTGGCTTTACTGCTCTGGGTTCTAGCCCTTCTGTGAATGTCACACTATGACACAAAGGCCCACAAAATCGATATATAGAAATATCGCCGATATTTTAAAACGCGATACATCGATGTATCGATATTTATTTTAGAATATCGAATTAATATCAATTTCGATATATTTTAAAATGTTATATATCGTTTTTTTCGTCGTCCAAGTAAATAAAAGGTAAATAAAATTTTGGACCTTATCTCTACATCATACAAGTGATGACGATATATCGATATATCCATATTTTTCACGCGATATATATCGATACTGGTTAAAAATATAGATTCGATATATATCGATATATTTTTCCCATCCCTAATTTATAGTATGCAAATATATGATAGAGATACAATAATCTAAAACTTTCAATTATGATTTTGTACATTAGAAATTTTTAATTTAGAAATTAGGTACATTATGTTGAGAATGTAATATGCCAACATCAACCAACCACAGGAAGCATGACTTTTTCCAAGTGACATAGGACATAACCTAAAAAGATTCAAATCTAATTATCTTTTTTGACGACTTCTCAGGACAAAATTCTTTGACAGAATTATTAAGACAGACGTTTAACATTTTAAGATATCTTTGATATATAGACGCTACCATTCCTTCTCAACTAATTTTATGTATGAAAGTCTGCCATTGTTCTTTACGCGTTTATCGCTAAAAAGAACCCCTTTGTCGTATCTCCTTAGTTTCAAGGCACTCTTCTTGCTAAATTAGCTAGAATCGGAAACCTCGGCGTCGACATATCGAATAGCGTGCAGTTTCGTGGTCACTTGGAAAGGAAGGCCAAGTTGGCCTCTAAAAAGCTTGGCGTGCTCAGCAGAGCGAGACTGTATTTCATGCCGGCACATCGCTTGCAACTTTACAAAGCGTAAGTTCGGCCTCACATGCTCATCTCTGGGCCGGGGCACCCCAGTGCCAGCTCCTTCCATTTGACCGCATCCAGCGTAGAGCGGTTCGAATCGTTGACGACCGAGTTCTTTCTGATCGGTTCGACACACTGGCACTGCGTAGGGATGTTGCATCCCTTTGCATTTTCTATCGAATTTACCACGGAGAGTGCTCTGAGGAAAGCAAATTTCACGAACGCACATCGCGTTAAAATTCACGATACCATCCTCACCATCTGGATGCTTGGCGTTCCATGACTGCGTGTTTTACTAGGAGTTTTCTTCCTCGTACAACTTCTCTGTGGAATTGTTTACCACCGGCGATTTTTCCGGACCGATACGACTTAGGGACCTTCAAGAAAAGAACTTACACCTTTCTAAAAGGCCGGCAACGCATCTGCAATTCCCCTGGTGTTGTGGTTGTTCATGGGCGGCGGTAGTCACTTATCATCAGGTGAGCCGCATGCTCGTTTGCCCCCGCTTCTATAAAAAAGAAACTAAACTTATAAATAAAATAAACGTTGACAATGTCATAATGGTTTAACGGTCTGTGGAAATGCTCAGTGCTTCAAGGACGTTACGAATTTGTTTTGGCGTGATTGATTATTAATTTTAGTGTTAGAGACAGTTCCGTGTTGTCTATCACGTGCGCGTGAGCGATAGTTCAATTGTTTGTTTATTACATTCTTGTTAAGTTTTGTTTTTCTTGTTTTGTTTTAATAATGCCTAACGCGTAGGTACGTTTATAGTGCTCGTAAATACGGCAACATCTTAATGTGCCTTGGAGAATCTCATAAGGCCACGTAGGATTTAGATTGGTAACTTAGTACTGAACTCATCGAAATAGGTACATAATTGAATACATAAGAATAATAAACATACCTACACGATGGATAAAAAAGCATGACTCTAATCTTGTTAACATTTCGTTTTACTAATTTTTTTTATTAGCGGGTAATCGAACCCGGTATTTGGTTTATTTAACCTTTGAATAAAGTGGCTAGGTGGAGACAAGTACAGTGGCAAAATAGTAGGTTAAGTAGATAAGTTAGGTATTTAGACAAGTGTTGTAAATTATTAGGTATTGTGGTACCATCGCTAGCTGCGGGCCGCGTGAATTCGGCGTCCGCGTGTACATTGATCTCTAGTCAGTTGATTGTAATTCCACTGCTGTTTTTATGTTTAGGTATTTTCATGATTTTTTTTTTTTTGGGAATTGTCGTTTCATTTAGCTGTACTAACATGATGGAGCGTGACAGTATAGATCTTGTACTGTTTTGTAAGGTTTAATAAAGATTTTTCATCATCATCATTACAGCCTTTAAGTTTACTGTTGAGTATAGGCTTCCCCCAAGGATTGTTACAAAACAAGTTCTGAACCACATGCTTCTATCGACTTTTTGCATCTCTTACCAGGTTGTCACTCTATTTAGTGGGAGAACTTTTCTTCCCCATCGATTAATGAAGATTAAATAAATAATTTGGGTACAGAATCGCGATGGTGCAAGCGTAGATGGGTGGGCATGGCGCTGAAGCGGAGCGTGTGCGGGGGCGGAGCCCTGGCGGCGGGGCTGGCGCGCTCGCTGTGCCTGTGGCGGCGCGCCCGCAGCGCCGCGGCCGCCGCGCTGCCCGCCGCCAGCGCGCCGCTCGCCGCCCGCCTGCACGCCGCACTCACCGATCCGCACCACGACGATGCGCAGGTCAGTACGCACACTTGCATGTGCACTGTACACTGTACACTGTATACTACTAGCGGACTATGCGGCCCTAGTGCAATGCGCGCCCGCCGCCAGCGCGCCGCTTCAATAACAGGGGAAGTTATTTTGTTAAAAAATTGTAGAGATTAAAAGGAAATGCAGGTTGTCTTTTCTCCATACAAACGCTCTCGACTGTTTTCTTTCTGGTTTATGACCTTATAGCAATGAGGTTTTACAGTAAAATAAATATCAACCTCTTCTATGTCCCTATGTTTTTGTTTTTGATAATACATTATCTTAATTTTTTTTATATTTATGCAAACACTACACATTTAAATAAAACTATTTTACGGATTTTATCGCGTGTATTAACTTATAATATTCCCGATGTTTCGAGTACTTTACAGCACCCATGGTCACGGTGGTGGGTGTGGGTTTGACTGAGGTATTTGACGTCCCAATGTCATAGTTAACCACGGCTACCTTTAGATTAAATAGTATTAATTTTTGTTCCGATCTACGCCGTATGAACTTACAGTATCTTGAAGTTTGCAGTTGTATGCTTGGGCTGGGTTTTAATTTTATTAATTATGGGATCCCAAACAGATGGTAGCACCCAGCCATCTTCTCTATTGAAATTAGGATGTTTTTTGATTTCAATAGCCTCGTGAATCATCCTTGGAAGGAATCGGTGTTCTTTAGCAAGCATTTGTAGTCTATCAAATCTAATGTAGTGACGGGGGCGATCCTGAACGTGTTCACAGACTGCAGACATCCCGGAGCGTCGATTCTTCACATCGGCTATGTGTTCTTTAACGCGGGTGTTTATTGATCTTTTAGTTTGTCCTATATAAAAGAGACCACATTCACAATCAAGCTTGTACGTACACTCCTGCATCTTGCAGAGGGACATTATTATATTTATTTATTAATAAAGGCTAATAATTTTCTGCTCACCAGATGTCGCTAGTTGACACTGAAGTAAAGTTTTTTTGTTACACAGTGTAATTTAATTGAAAAGTTAAAAGCTTATCAATTTCTAGAGTATTATATTCATACACAAAACAATGCATCAATGGTTTGCTCTTTAATTTTTTGCACATTTTTAACTTTTTTTAATTTTTCTTTTTTTATGAAAATCTGTAGTTTGGTTTATTTATTTTTAATCTTAAAAACGTCGTGAAACACTCCCAACTCGAGGATTTTTGACTTACCTGGAGTGATTGAATAGTAATTAAAATAGTAATTTTAATAGCATTCCTAATGTGAGTTAAGACTTGTATGTATAGTCTAAATGAGCTCTGCGGCCTTAGTACATTGAGCACTAAGTAACATAATACTTAGTGCTCAATGTACTAAGTATACTGCCAATAAGTTAACTATGCCTCCGTGGCGCGCCCACCGACCATAACCACGAAGACACAGTTTTGCCGAATGTGCGCAATCATCCCCTTAATACATGTCTCACTCACGCTCATGAGAGCCATTAAAATTGGGTCTAGGGGTTGGTTGACCCCTTGCATCCGTCTTCCTTCTTGTAAAACGTTTTAAAATAGTTGTATGGCTGACATATATAAAAATGGAGCTTCAGAATGTAAGTGAAGTTGAGTTTTTTTTTTTGAAAACTTAAAGCGTCTGCAAAGCGATACGGAAAGTGTCTGGGAGAATTGATGACTGATTTATTACGATATTATCTAACATTTGCGTAAAAATCAGCTGGGAGAATGAACGTGGGGTGTGAGTAATGTTTTTACGTACTTTGATTACCTGATACCCGGAAAATGGACGTCAGGCCAAGCTGGCAGTTAGGCATGCGATCATAGTACATACTAACACTTCTCCATCTTATTACACATTTCGTTCGTCAGAGAATAAGTGACGTCTGGTGGCCCTGAGATCTTGTTGTGCTAGTTCATCGAGGGCATCCACGACTTTTTCTGCCACCATAAATCAGGCGATTAAAAACTTGTAGAGATTAATGTTTAATTAAAAATGCTTAATTAAAACTGCTGATATTCCTAAAAGTAGAGAATTAAAAAGAGTTAAACACGTGCAACCGAACACCGAGGCGTTGTTTTGTGTATTTATACAATAGAAACCGATTATTTTTATCATTCAAAACTAAACTTTTCACATAGATTGACACTTTATAACAAATAACTTCATCTTAGTCCCAACTAACGACATCTGTTGAGCGTAAAATTATTAGCACTCCATTATTATTTTTGCTACGCAGTATATTCACTAATACTTCACACACGTAAACTTTTAATATACAAAATCGCACACACCACTTTTTGGCACTAAAATCCACTTCAAACTGTGATTTAAAAGATAGAACACAAGTGAATAACAAATACAGGGTCAGCAATCCATCGGTGATAGAGTCCTACCCACCACATGTTTTTAGGTTTTATTCTTTAGGGGTTTTTCTGATAAAGTTTACAATATATCTGTTATATAATATATTTTTTGTTGTTTAATCTTTACAAATAAATAAAATTGAAGTGTCTGTTTGTAATGTCGAAATAACAGCTTTTTACTATATGCATATGAAAGTATATACGGTACTTATAATAAAAACACGATTTTTAAAAATTTTGTCTGTTTATTTGTTCCGGCTAATCTCCGATCGAGATAGCTGATGTTATAAGAAGTAACTTATGCTACTTTTATTTTAGAAAAAGAATTAGGGTTCCGCGCAAAAAATTAACCCATGAAATCCAATGGTAATAACTTACGCGCGGGCGAAGTCGCGGGGAACAGCTAGTCTAATTATAAAACATGTTTTCATTTCATTATCTATGGGTCTATCCTTCGTTTTTTTTTGTACAGGAATATTTTATCAATGGTTTTTAAATAATAACAAATATAGGATACCTACTCAGTTTATTTCGCCATTTCTTCTCCGGGTAGAGTGGAAGCTTATTTTTGGAACCACATCATGATAATAAAAATTATGTATAGTGTTAAATATTTTGTTCACAGATTAAAATTGACAATCGCATCAAACACATCCTGGGCTTGCAGCCGACAAACGAAATTCAACCTTACTGCCAGCACCCAAACAGCAAAATCGAACCCTTCACCCCGAAACACACGCTACTGGAGACGATGCTGGAGAGTGAAGGGTTCAAAAAGGTTCAGACTAGCCCATCCCTGCCTTGCATTACAATACCGGCTTTTAAAATGTCCGAATTTCTCACACACGACAAAAAGTGCACTTGTTATGCGTGCGAAGCGCCATATTCCCTTATCTTAGCATTCCAGACATGCGCTCTAGAAGCTTCCATGTACTACAGAAGCAAGGAATTCGAAATCGCTAGAAGTTACTTCGCCGGCGCTTCCGAAGCGTTGAGATTATGCGAAGCGAAGTTAAAGGATTCATTCCGAAGCGCGTCGAAAAAATTTCAGAAATACATCCTGGATATCGTTAAGGATATATACGATAGTGAGATTAGAAATATTGAAGTGGAAATGCTCATTGAAGCATCCTTCTATGAACTGGCTCAAGGAAATTATGACTTGGTGAACGATAGAGTTGTGAGAATACACGAAATAATGCAAGAAACCAAACTAAACCCATATTTGGCCAATGATGTGAACAACCTACTGATAGCAACAGCCAGACTGAGAAGAGTGTTCAAGAAGCAAGAAGAAGTTGGCTTGGAAGCGGAAATGGAGAGCCTAAAGCTGAGTCCGAACTCGGAACTCATAAAGACACCTGAAACTAAATACGTACCAGAGAAGAAGACAAATAAACTTGTGAAGGACGAGGAAGTACCGATTCTGAAACGGAAAGTAATAAAACTCAATCTCGACGATGACAGTCCCGATGAGAAGGCACCGAGCCAAGAAGTTAAGAAACCGGAATTCAAACTACCAGTTCCGGTTACGGCGAAGCCGGTTCTGGAGACTATAACGCCAAGACCGAGCAGGGCCAGACCGAAGGTGCTCATCACTCAGGCGACTGTGGACTCTCAGGTTTCCACCCCGAGCTCAAAAGCCAATGAGAAATTCTTCACACCCTGTGCCTCGACCCCTGGAGAACAATTCTTCACTCCGATGACCTCATTGAAAACTTATTCGAGAAAGCGGAGTGGAATCGTGAAGAACTTGGAGAATGAGTTCTCCACGCCCAAAGCTGGAGGCGAAAAGGAGAATATGGTAAATCATTATTTTTTTATTTCTATATAACTTTTCACGTGATAGGGCCACACTGCAGCTATATTATAGTTGTAGCACGAGCGGGTCGGCTCGACCGGGGAAGGACAACGCTCTCACAGACTACCAGCTTCAAATAGCAGATTAATGCCGTTGTGTTTCGTATGGTGAGTGTGGAGAACTGGAGACCCTTGTTACTGGAAACGAGCCATTCCATCTCAGTTCTCAGTGGTGACAAGGCACCTGCATTTTGATTCTTAATTGAGGATAAATGTAGATATTTAAGGACCACAGCATCCACTTACCATCAGGTGGACCGCTTTATTATTTCAAAATTTGGAATAATCCCTCACAATCCATTTTTGCCGCCATGGCGGCGCCACTTAGTAATGAAGTGAAATATTGGACAGTGAATTAACATACGTTAATACACGAAAATTAAAAACAATTTGGCAAATCCAAAAGTGCACGTTTCATTAAAAGTGAGCGTTTTTAGTTTTTAATTTAATTTTGATGAAAAAAAATTGAGTCTGATAACAACCAGCGATAGGGATCTTCCTCAGGATAAATGGAAACTTATTCAATAGTAATTTTTCTGAAACGTGAAGACAAACAAGTGCACAAACTAATAATCTTTTTAACTACATTTTTGTAAGTATAACTAAACAAATTAACAAAAAAAAAATACGCTGACTTTATAATTAAATGTATCTAGTATTAAAACATTACCCTTTTTTTATTAATTCAGTGTCTAAATTGAAACATACTAACAATTTTATATTGCAAAATCGTCACATAGCGGCATGTCGAGAGCAAAGCACTCCCACACGCAGCGCGTTATGAGGCGTGCAAAATGTCTTTTTGGTTTCATCTTTAATTTTTTGCAACTTCTACTTTTAGGAACATCCGTAATTTAGCTTATCCGTTTCTAGTCTAACAAATATAAAATAAAGCCGTGGTAGCTCAGATGGTTGGCGCTCGCGGTAAATTTCACAATACGCGAGCAAGCCGGATTCGATCCCCGCCGGCACCAATGAAATTGTTAATTGCAATTTTAAATGCTGATTTACCACGTGCTCAGCGGTGACGGAAAACATCGTGAGGAAACCTGCATGTCTGAGAAATACGAAAAAAAAGTATTTCGAAGACATGTGAAGTTCGCCAACACGGATTGGTGCAGCGCGCCGAACAATTCCTTGCCCTAGACCCTCTCAGAAATGGGAGGAGGCCTGTGCCCAGCAGTAGGACTTATATAGGCTGCAACTTTAAATATAAAATATTACTAATACTATGTACAGAAAGAAACATTAACTAACATTTTCTTAACAAATTCTTAAAGACAATTGAGTATTCAAGAAACCGATAAACACAAGATTAAAACGCAAGCTCTCCATTTTATTGACATTGCGTAACAAATAACTTCACTACAGTCCCAACTAGCCACATCTGGATAATGGAAGGTTCTTAGTTCTCATTAATCCCATTATTTCAGGTGAAACCACCAGAGCAACTAAAGACCCCCGTTCATTCAAAAAATTGTCTTTAATTTTTGTGTATTAACATATTCAAGAAACCGATAAACATAAGATTAAAACGCAAGCTCTCCATTTTATTGTCATTGCGTAACAAATAACTTCACCACAGTCCCAACTAGCGACATCTGGCGAAAGGTTGTTAGTTCTCATTAATCCCATTATTTCAGGTGAAACCACCAGAGCAACCAAAGACCCGTTCCAAAGCCAAGGTAGAAAGTGGAACAGCAAAGAATCTGAGGGACAAGCGGAGTCTGACGCGAGCCACCAGCCCGGGAAAGTTGTCCCACGGAACCACAGCCAAGTCTCGAGTGAGGCAGCCGTTGGGCTTGAAGGACTGAGACCTGGCTTACTGCATATATTGTAATGTGTACCAAACTAGTAATAAATTAATTTGTAACCATTGTGCAGTGTAATTAAATTTTTACCTTATTGTGAATTTATTACAATACCAAAAAGAACACTTAATGGGTTTACTTGTTTGTAACCTTAAATTTACTGTTGCTTATTATCTCTATACCTCTCCCCTTCTACTGTAATTAATAAAGAGAGAGAGAGAGAGAGAGAGACAAGATAGCGAGACAGATCGTAAGAGAGAGAGAGAGAGAGAGAGAGCGAGAGACTACCTATCTCTTGCTACTGTATGTTAGTTGTAAGTTAAGAGAGATTGAAAGAGAGAGCGAGATAGAGAAAGAGAGAGAGCAAGAGACATCGAAATAGAGAGTACCTATATTATTTTACAGTAAGTTAAGAGAGTGATAGAGAGCGAGTGAGATCTAAAGAGAGAAAAAGAGAGAGTACATATTTCTTTCTACTGTATTTATGTTAAAAGAGAAAGAGAGAGAGAGAGATCGAAAGAGGGAGAGAGCGAGAGAGATCGAAAGAGGGAGAGAGCGAGAGACTACGTATCTCTTGCTACTGTATTTAAGTTAAGAGAGATTGAAAGAAAGAGCGAGATAGAGAAAGAGAGATCGAAATAGAGAGTACCTATATTATTTTACTGTAAGTTAAGAGATATGGAGAGCGAGTGAGATCTAAAGAGAGAGAGAGAGTAGTTATTTCGTTCTACTGTATTTATGTTAAAAGAGAGAGAGAGAGTACCTATATCTTTTTACTGTAAGTTAAGAGAGATATCTAAAGAGAGGGAGAGAGAGTACCTATCTCTTTCTACTGAATTTAAGTTAAGAGAAAGAGAGAGAGAGAAAGAGAACAATAAGCTTTTCTTAAGTTGACATCGACACGAGTAACGCAGCTACTGCATGAGGAATAATATCGTGAAGGAACCAGCATGTTTCAGAAGTAAAATATTGTGGGCACATGTAAGTGACCGCTAAACACGAATTGAATTCAAACAACTTAGCGAATTAATTGTTCTATAAACGTCTAAGTCATAGCGAGGCTTGCGCTCAGCTGTGGCACGTTTATAGTGAAACCTTAGGTGCATGTTCATTTCTTTTTTTTATAGTATATGGGTGACAAGCAAGCACACAGGCTACCTGAGGGTAAGTGGGTGCTGTGGCCTATAGACACTTACATCTAAACTTTATTTTTTTTTATAGGATAGGGTGACAAATGAGCACACAGTCCTGCTGATGGTAAATGGTTGCTGTGGCCCATAGACATCTACATCTATCCTCGAATAAGAATCAAAATGCAGATACGTTGTCATCCGTCAGGACTAAGCCATCTTAGCCTCTTATGCCTCCATTCCAGTAAAAAGTGTCTCCGGTTATCTACACTCACCATAAGAAACACAGCAGCATTAAGCTGCTATTTTACACTGGTATTCTGTGAGAGTGTGGTCCTTCACCAGTCGAGCCATATAATATATAATGCTACAGCCATATTATAGCTGCAACATGGCTCTACCATCTAAACTCGAGTGCTCTACCACGAAAAAAAATTTTACACAAGCCGCTCCACTTCTTCAAAACTGGACAAAGGCGTTTATCGTTGTACGTACGATTTCCCTTAACCGATTCGTTGCGGCGCCGATTTTCGACAACTTTTAGCTGTGGCGGCGAACAAATATTCCGTGACACGCCTGGCGTATCAAGCGCCACAGCTATCTCATCAGTGTCATCAACCATGTGTAAAAGTAATGTTCTTTTTTATGCTTTATTCACTTGTTTAGACCTAATTAAGTTCAGTTGACATAAAACATCAGTTGCAAACGGAAGGATACTTGTTTTTAGTAGGTAAATACGTGTTTTTCTACGTGTTTTCTTTGAAATTGAGAGTAAGTGACTTTTCTTATGCAGAGATTACAAACCGTTTGTACTATTTTGTTTTTAAACAAAATTTATATAAGTAGGTACAGCTAAATCACCCTGGAAAGCTTGGTTTTTATTAAATTAAATTTTCACCTAATAAAAACATTTGTAAATATCAAACAAATCAAACAATGAAGAACCTTAATTTGGAAAAAAATAAGGTTTATGATTCATTGATATTTACAAATGTTAAATATTATTTAATGTTATACAAATGTAAAAGTAAAGTCGATCTGAAAACGTCTAATTAGTAAGAATAGCAAGTTTTTTCAAAAGGAAAAAAAACGCCGGCGCTATACGGCGGCGGATTGACAAAAGACTTTATTAGCGAACTTTTTTTTATGCAAGAACGGTTTCAAACTGTTTCAAGCAAAAATAAACTTTATACCATATATATATAAGAGCACATGGTACTTCGTAGGTCTATTCGGTCATATGATAGTAATAAGACGTCAGTTCAACCATTTTAAGCTAAATTAAACAATAAGACAAACGCATTGTTTTCTTTTAACAGGAGACTTGTTTTCCATAAATTTATTTACAACTTGAGTTTGTGAGCGATCGCAATGAGTGCTATTATTTGTTACTTATTAGACTATTTTTCCACAACGTGATTTAAAACCGACAAAATAAAAAGAGAACCATGTACAAGTTAAAAAAAGGTTAACCCCTAAAAATTTCAAATTTTCAAAATATCTAGAAACGAAGCTGCAGGCATGAACTATTTGCAAAATAATGAATATTTTGTTCTGGATAAATCTTCCAAAAAAGTAATTTGAGCGAGTTATAACGATTTTTAAAAAGACACGACTCGCGTGTCTTACGCCACACACAAAAGTAATCGGTGGCACGCCTGTCGTGCCACCCGCGTTGCACCGGTTAATAACTGCATGCCGAGTATTTCATGCCAGGTTAAACGTTAAAAGTACGACAGATAATGCTATGAGGTCTATCTAACGATAATAGTCCTGGAAATGAGGTGATCGCTTCAAAGATGTTTTTTAAATAAGTGTTGGTAAGTAATTGTACATCTTCTTCTAACATTGTATAATTTTACATTAAAAAAGTTCCATTGGGTTTCTTACTGAACTGAGGTGTTTTCCGAATCAACGGTAAAGTTTAAATTATCTTCAATATTAATTTTTTTTTTTTTAATATTTAGTATTGAACCCGTACTTCATTCTATATTATCTTTTCTGAAACTTCTCATAGTGACCTCTTATGAAACCCTCGAAATGAAGTGGTTAGATGGAGTCCCCCAACACCTCAACTACGCGGTAGTGCCTCTGGTTTTATAGGTGGTAGAGCCATACTGCAGATATATTGAGGTTGCAGCACGAAACGAAAAAAACTCGACCGGGGAAGGACTACGCTGTTGTTGTGTTTCGTATGGTGAGTATAGGAAATGTTTTACGGGAAACGAGGTAGTGTGAGGGCAACAGCATCTGCTTACCATCAAGCGGACTGTCTGCTCGTTTATCACTCTTATTCTTAAAAAAAAACTTACAGTTATTAAATCAGATTGTAGAATGTTGGTGAAATTCAATTAAAACAGTGTCTCCATCTATAAATAAATTTATTAATTTTTTTTTACACCGAATAAACACGTACAATAGCACTGTATCAACTAAAGTACACTGGGCACACTACAGTACACTTGTGCCCCACTACGAGTTAGAAATAACATGGATTACTAAACTAAATTGTTCATTATCAACCCCAGACCAACAACGATGGATACAGTTATTCTCAACTAGCCGCACACATCTGTACCTAAAACAATGTTGGTTGCAAATTACTTTAGATGCATATGTATGCGGAGTGTGTTCTTACAGAGTAGAGCACAGTTTTGGCTTGGTGTCAGCATCACTTGAAATGTACGTAGCGCTCCATCTATATTTCTATATTGGTCTGTGTCACTACTCACTCTCAGCTACGTGAAGGTCAAAATGTTTTCATTAACAACACCACTAGGTAAATATTGTTACACATGATCTTTTAATTGTGTATATGTCGCAGCCAACCATCTTAATTAGCCTTTTAGTAAAGCATATTAAATGGCATGGTCTGCCTATTAATTTCATTCAACGGGACGGTCGCTGGTCTGTGCCTAAATGCGTTATGTGCTATTATATAAATGAACGCGGCATTAGGACCACCGCAGCCGCACCTTAACCTACTGTCGATGGTATTACAAGATATGTGCAATGTTGTATTAGACGCCTCGGCTGAATATCACTCAGGCCGCTAGTTGAACGGTGCCGTATAGTAAAAAGGCTATACAACTGAAAGGCAAAATGAGACAGTTGGCTGCAACATACACGACAGGTGATATACTGCATGGTAAAGATATATTCATTACAAAGTTAAGACGTTAAAATGTATTACATTAAATCAAGCAAAAGCTTGGCGTGCTCAGCAGAGCGGGACAGTATTTCATGCGGGCATACCGCTTGCAACTTTACAAGGCGCAGGTTCGGCCTCACATGGAATACTGTTCCCATCTCTGGGCCGGGGCACCCCAGTGCCAGATCCTTCCGTGAGACCGCCATCCAGCGCAGAACGGCTCGAATCATCGACGACCGAGTTCTTTCTGATCGGCTTGACTCACTGGGACTACGTAGAAATGTTGCCATCTCTTTGCGTATTTAATAGCATCTATCACGGGGAGTGCTCTGAGGAATTGTCTAGACTAATTCCAATCGCTCAATTTCACCATCGCACATTGCGACCAAACTCGC